ATGAAGTCCCGCACCCATTTATCATTTTAGTACCGTAAGTGGAGCTTGTCGCAAACTAGTCTTATAAGTGAAATTTTTTTGCTGTTTTAGTCCTCCGGCGCCGGAGACATCCGTGTAGCTTGCCGGAGGTGACGTGTCAGCTAGGTGTCCCACCAGGTCAGCGACACGGACACATGGATTTTTAATTTTTTAATTTTTAATTAGACCAAATAAAAAAAATACAAATAAAATTTAAAATAAATTTAAAATAAGTTTTAAAAAAATTTTAAAAAAATGAAAATAAAAAATAAAAAAATCCACGCCAGATCAGCGACATCTGACGGATACGTCAACTTCAGCGAGCCACGTGGGCATCTCTGGCGCCGGAGGACTAAAACAACGAAAATTTTTCACTTATGGGACTAGTTTGTGACAGGCTCCACTTACAGGACTAAAATGATAAGGGAGTCCAGTTACAGGACTAAAAAAACAGTTTACCCTAAAATAAATTATATATATAATTTTTTCTCACACATATTCAGTTAGTACAATTTTTCCATACATATGAAAGAGAATTGGCAATAGAAAATTAAAAGTAAATTACTATCTAGTTCCATAACTAGTTATCAATTTGATTTTTTGTACGAAATTTTAAAAATATTAATATTATATTAGAGTGTAGTAGGAATAAAGTATAAATGATTAAAATAACCTTATTAGTATTGTGTGATATAAATATAATGACATTTGTGTAATATATTGTAAATTGTAAGGGTATTTGTAATATTACGTAGATAGTACAGTTACTTATTATGGGACAGACTAAAATAAAAATAAATAATTTATTATGGGATAGATAAAATATTATTAACTTTCAATTATAACTATCAAAACAGGTTAGAGACAGATTAGATCACAATCCACCATAACTCGCAAATAAGTAGATTATTTGCGGTCAATCCACCGTATAGCAGGGCTAAGGTTTAGGCAACCTAGTTCACCCCGCCGCTGATGACCAGGCAAATGGGTCAAAAAAATGGTAATTATACGTAAGTTGTAAGAATTTTTAAGATTACGTAGTAAGAAAAATTATTATAAAAAGATTATTTAATTTTGAACAGATTAAAATAAAAAAGTAGATAGATACAGAGAAATTATTAAAGATATAATATAAATAATAATTATATTTATTTGGCCGACGGACTAATCCATCGTATTGCATATTAATCCACCCTTAACCCGCGACTAATGGATTACCTTATTTAGACCTATATTTTAGTAGGCCTAAAAATTTAAAAACTCAAATTCCTTAAAAGTGGGATGTTGTGGACCAAAATGACGGATTCAACACATTTCAACAATTTGCTTTTAATTCCTAATGGACAAAAAAATAAATTACTTATATGTTTTATTTTGAACTATTTGTGGGATGTATTCAATTTTGATTACGTAGGATTTGGTTGGACTTTTAAAATTTAATCGTATTAATTAAAATTTTTAAAAGTATTTTAAAATTTGAAGGTATTTAATCCAGAGTATAAAATTTTTCTTGCTAAGTAGAAATTTTGATGAATTTTTAAAATTATTATTATTATTATTGTTGTTGTTGTTATATATGTGATAAATAATATGATAATATTTATTAATATTATTATAATTTTTAATAAAAATAATCATTTCAAATTAAAATATAGTAGCGAATTATTATCAATTTTTTTTTGAAAAAATATATATTTTTTATATTATAAATATAATATATAAAAAATATTATTATCTTAATAAATATATATTATTGTCGTATTTTATTTTTAATTATTGAATACAATATATTATCATTTCAGTATTGTTTTCCATTTTCAATTGTCGAATACACTATATTGTTATATCGGTAACAATGAAATAAATATATATAAAATTTAATAATTGAACACCTAAATAAACTACTGAAGCTTAGTTATTTCACAGTTATAATACCTTATTGACAACCGTATGCATGTAGAAGTAAAAAATAATAAATGAGACAAGAGTTTGTTAACTCGGTTCGGTTATAAACAAACCTGCATCCGGAGATATCAATCCAAAAGTAGTTATATTAATCAGTGTTGTTGATTAAGAATAAAGACAAACCACAATTCCTTCAACTCATACTTTTACAATGGTTATTTAGGAAAACTGCTTAAATTGTCACAAACTCGTACCGAAAACTACTACAGAGTAGGGCTACTCAGAATATGGACATCTCTCCTAATCGGAATTCCGATAACTTCTTCCTCCGACGAGCTCTCCGGCAGGTAAAAGTGATAAATACTCCCTCAGAATATGAAGAAGAGAATGGTTGGGATTGAGGCATCAAACTCACTTTCTCACTCTAAATACAACTCTCAAAACCCTCCCAACTAGGGATGGAGAAATTTACCAAACATACTGAAATACCAACTTATCGTACCGTATCGTGTTGAAAATACCAAAATTTTTTGTATATCGAAACTTTCGATACGGTATGAATACCGTATCGGTATGAATTTTCAAAAAGTTCGATATTTCAGTATAATACCGTACCAATATTATTTTTATTAAATAATTTAATTATTAATATAAATAATAATAATAATAATTTCTTTCTAGATCAAAACAAAAAATATGGAGACTACTACCCTAAATCCCTAATTCTAATATACACTTTCCACACCACAATACAAAATTTTCCGTCAACACAATCCTAAATTTAATTTTTGACGACATTAGTCCTCCCCTAAATCCGACCTCCTGCACCGATGTGGTTAGCCGTCCGCCGACTTTACAAATCTACTAACTTTCAATCCACCTCTGACTATTTTTTTTTGGAATTACCGGCGATGTCGCCGGCAGCCCCCTGTCCAGCAACTGCAGGCTGCAATTTGTTGGCCGGGGAGGGCGGCAGCTGGTTGGCCCTCCCCCCTTTTAAATATAATACTTATTTTGTAAATTAAAATTTTGATTTTTTTTTCATGATATTTTTTGGTGAAAAATTGTGATATTTATTAATTTAATTTTTTTTTTGAAATTTAAAATTATATTATTAGTATAATCGGTATATATCGGTATTGTACCGAAAATTTCGATATACCGAATTTCGTTATGCTGAAAATTTAGGTACGGTACCGGTATATATTATTGTTAAACCGAAAAGTTCGGTACGATATCAATATTGATCGATATTTTCAATACGGTATGCCATCCCTACTCCCAACAACCCAGCTCACTGCTTACAAGGCTGCAACCATGCAGGACATGTAAAATAAACACAATTAAAATTCTTTGCACACAAATGAAAGTAGTCTCTTTGCATAAATTGTAATGTCAAGATGACTATTTTGAACCATCTATTTTATCTTGTGTGCCTACAACCTGTTGGGTCAATTTGTATCTCACAACAACAATAATAAGAAGAAATATTTGACCACATGTCAAAACACGTAATAGGGTATTTTTTTATTTAAGATATTATTATCATCATAGTATTATAATATTATAATATAGATAAACTGTTTTTTTGTCCAGTAACTAGACCCCTTATCATTTTAATTCCGTAAGTGGAGCGTGTCGCAAACTAGTCTCATAAGTGAAAAATTTTTCGCTGTTTTAGTCCTCCGGCACCGGAGATGCCCGTGTGGCTCGCCGGAGGTGACGTGTCCGCAAGGTGTCGCTGACCTGGCGGACATGTGGATTTTTTTTTATTTATTTTTTCATTTTTTAAAATTGTTTTTAAAACTTATTTTAAATTTATTTTAAATTTTATTTGTATTTTTTTATTTTTTTTATTTGATCCAATTTAAAAAAAATTAAAAAATAAAAAATAAATCCACGTGTCCGCCAGGTGTCGCTGACCTGGCGGGACACCTGGTGGACACGTCACCTCCGGCGAGCCACGCGGGCATCTCCGGCGCCAGAGAACTAAAACAGCGAAAATTTTTCACTTATGGGACTAGTTTGCGACAGGCGCCACTTACAGGACTAAAATGATAAAAGGGTCCAGCTACGGAATATAACCACACGCCGTAACTTTTTTTTTTTCTTTTTCCAATATATATTATATATATATATATATATATATATTGGGTGCCTTTACAATACGAAATTAAGATGGGTAATAATCCGTCGGCATGGGTGCCGCTGAATTTAAAAACTAAGCACCCCATTCATGCAGATATGTTTATATACATTAGAATTTAAAAATAGTCTTTGTTTGGGAGATTGGATTTTACATATCCTATTCATTCTATTTTTTTTAAAAAAAAAATTAAATCAAATTTAAATCTCAATTTAAAATTCAAACCCCCAAACAAACACACCCAGGATAAATTGTTTTTTTAGTCCCGTATCGGACCCCTTTTATCATATTAGGACTTTAAGTGGACCTTATTTGAAAATAGTCTCATAACTAAATTTTTCTAAAATAGTCATCTGGTGCTGGAGCCGCCATGCTGGCCTGCCGTTGCTGATGTGGCGTTGAAGCAGCTGACATGTCGTTGCCACGTAATGCCACGTCAGCGACACGTGAATTTTTTATTTTTATTTTATAAAATATCTTGATAAACTATTTTTTTTTTATCCCGTATATGATCTCATTTATTAATTTTAGGACATTTAAATGGACTTTGTCTCAAAATAGTCCTACATGTAAAATTTTTCGCTAAAATGGTCCTCCGACGTGACATCTATGTGGCGATGACATGTTAGCCATGTCAGCAACGCTGACGCGATGACATATTAGCCATGTCAGCAAAGGTTGTCAGTGTGGCGAGTCCGGCACCGGAGGACCATTTTAGCGAAAATTTTTTTACTTACCAGAACTATTTTCAAACATGATTCACTTAAAGTATTAAAATGATTAAAGGGTCGAACTAAAAAGCAATTTCCCCAAAAATATAATAGAGTTAGGTATGTATCCGAATAGATTTTATAATAATATTGATAAAATAATTGATATTTATTCATTCAAAACCTTCCATTTATATTTGATCAAAGTTCTCAAAGAAGAACATCACATTGTTTTGTGAAAAATTATTCTAATCCTCACTCTTCTAAAAAAATGAATCTCCTCTTACTACTACTAATAACATTGTCGACAATCTTCATATCCATTCTTTTCCGGTTCAAAAAATCAAGAAAACCCGGTCCGCCGCCGGGGCCGCCGCCACTTCCGGTGATCGGAAACCTCCACCAATTAACTAAAGCCACACACCTTCATCTTCACCTATGGCGCCTATCGAAAAAATACGGTCCCCTCCTGCGCATGAAGCTCGGCTCGACCCCAATGATCGTCGTGTCTTCGGCCAAATTGGCTGAACAAGTGCTAAAAACTGAGGAGTCATCCATTTGTAGTCGGCCTAAGCACGTCGGCCAACAAAAACTATCCTACAATGGGATGGACATGGCCTTTTCACCCTACAACGATCATTGGCGAGAGCTGCGAAAGATCACAACCGTCCATCTCCTCAGCGCGAAAAAGATCGAATCCTTCCGACCCTTTAGGGAGGACGAAATGTCACGAATGGTCGCTAGGGTTTCTGCGGCTGCATCTTCGGGGCAAGCTGTGAACTTGAATGCGACTTCCACGACTCTTTTCGGCACGCTTATTTGTAGAATTGCTTTCGGGAAGAGGTACGAGGAGGGAGGATTTGATATTCGGAGATTCGAGCATCTTCTTCATGAGGGTCAGGCTGTGATGACTGCTTTCTTTGTGTCGGATTATTTTCCGATGTTGGGATGGTTCGATTATTTGTGGGGTTCGATTTCTCGGCTCGAGAGGATTTGGAAGGAGTTGGATGAGTTCTATCAAGAACTCATCGACGAGCATTTGGACAGCAATTGGAAGAAAATGAAACATGAGGTGGATGACATTCTCGGAATTTTGATCGACCTTAAGCAAAGAAAGACTTCTTCGATGGATATTTCCTGGGATTCCATCAAAGGGTTTCTTATGGTATGCTTTTGTCTTTTTGTTTACATCCAAATTCTTTAAAGTTTCTTAGGGAAAGAACAAAGAACACATGCCCTGAAGTTTTGAAATTTTAAAATTTTTTGAGAATATATAATAGGAAGTTTTGGTATTAATTGATTTAAAATTTTGTGAGAATCAAATATATTTTATGTAATACTAGTTTTTTAAAAAATTATGTTGATGAATTGTACAAAATTTTCACTATTCAATTACTATTTTTTTTTTTTTTTCAAAACGATCAAACAAAAAACTTAGTTTCATTTTTTTGATATTATTTTAAAATTATACTTTATATTTATAATATCACATCAATATTTATTTATATTAAACTATCAAACAACAATTTAAATTCAAAATTTTACTATTAAAAAATCTAAATCTAAAATTCCAGCTCTCAAACAAACACACTAAAAATTTTTAATTGTTCAAGATTTGAAAGTTTATAAGGTTTATTTGGTTATGTTTTTAATTTAGAGTTTTGATTTGAGCTTTTGGTGTAAACAATGATGTGATATTTTGCAAAAGAAAAAATATATATTTATATTAGAAACCGTATAGACTGCCAAAGTAGTGTTAATTTTGGTTTAGTTAGTTATTCCTAAGATCTTGCTTAAGGAAATATTTTCTTACTTTTCTTAATTCCATTTTTATTGCTCCATAGAACATATTTTTCGCGGGATCGGATACGAGTGCCGCAGCCGTTGTTTGGACGATGTTGGCCTTAATGAAGTCGCCAAATGTAATGAAGAAACTCCAAGCAGAGATCCGGGAGTCTATCAATGGCCAACAAGAACTAATAGCCGAAGACGATTTGCTCAAACTACCTTACCTAAAAGCAGTTGTTAGTGAGAGTTTAAGATTGTACCCTCCCGATCCATTGCTTGTGCCAAGACAAACTACAGATAAATGCATCATAGATAGCTACGAAATCGAACCTAAGACAGTTGTCTATATTAATGCATGGGCCATTGCAAGAGATCCCGATTACTGGAAGAACCCTGATGAGTTCTTGCCGGAGAGATTCTTGAACAATGGTGCGGATGTTAGAGGGCGAGATTATGGAGTGATTCCATTTGGATCCGGTAGGAGAATTTGCCCCGGAATGTCTATGGGGCTTGTCAATGTCGAGCATATGATTGCGAATCTTGTCTACTCGTTCGATTGGGAGTTTCCTCCGGGAGTTCGAGCAGAAAATGTCGACGAAGATATATTGCCCGGGCTTACAATGAATAAGAAAGAACCACTCGTACTTGTGCCGAAGAAGTTTTATGTTTAAAACATCGAATATGTACTATTTTGTTTTTCGCAAAATAAATAAAATGTTGAATTGATCTATTAGTAATTCAATCAGATGGTTAAAATTTTGATTTGCATAAATTAAATTCGTATATTTTCTTAAACTGATTAATCCTAGTCGTATATATAATGAATTATCAAAATAATTAATTGATATTATTATTGATTGATTGAGCTTATTTAATAATATTATATAATATCCGACTTATTGTATATAACATGTATAGGGATAACACATAACATTACACAGTTTATTTTAATAGAATATAGATGCAATACATGAATTTATAACATATGACAATATTTCATATAACACATGATCATATAAATCGATAATACACAATTTATATTGTCATATAACACATGATCATATAGATCGATAATACACCATTTATGTTAATACTCCCTCCGTCCGTCTCTAACGGTCACATTTACCTCTTGCGTCATTGTATTTACCATTAAAAATATCATTATATTTATATAATTTTTTGTACAAATATCCTTCTATTAGTATTATAATACACTAATGGAAGTATTTTTACAATTTTTTCTTAATTTACACTATGTTCTGATATAATAATTAATATTCAAAGATCAACACACAAGAAGTAAATGAGACCCTTAGAGCCGAACGAAAGTAGTATTATATAATGCAAGATATGAATTGACAACACATTACAATATTACATATAATATATGTTACATTTGATCCGGTCAACATTCTAACATCAAGGTAGATAAGCATGCTAGGGGTGTCAATTCGTATTTTCGGGTCGTGTTCGTGTCGAGTTGAGCCATGGGGTAACAAAAAAATTGTCTAACTCGAACCCAAAATTTAACCTGAAACCCTAGAACCAAACATGACACGAATTCTTTCAGGTCGGATTTACGTTAACCTGATTTAGTTTTAGGTCACCCGAAACCCAACACGAAATAGACCCGAAAACTTAAAAAATTAAATTAACCGAAAAAAATTCATTTTTATTTAATATTTTATAAATATTATAAATTAAATTAATAATAATAACTAATTTCAGGTCAATCCGAAACACGAAACCCGACCTAATGTTTATATTTTGGGTTATCAGGTCAACCCGACCCGAACACGACACAAATTTTTTCGTTTCGAGTTCGAGTCGACGTGATTCTTTGCAAACCCAAAATACCCAAACCCGAACATGACAAATTTCAGGTCGAACAGGTTTTATTTTTTGAGGTCAGGTTTAATTTTGACACCCCTAAACGTGCGCTGTGCAATTTATATATTATGTTGTATTATATATATGCTTATTGTACTAAAAATAATTAATATATTATATTGTATTATCACGCATTCTTAAATATGTATTGTATATTATATTATTATGTACCGCAATTTATAAGCTACTATTTTAAAATTGTTTTTCTTTTATTAGTTTTGAATTTTAAATTAATTTAATAAAACTTTATTTAAATGATCTAACTCGCAACCTAATATAAACAATTTAAACACTTTACCATCATTCTATGTCTACATTTTTTTTATTATTTTATTAGTTGATATATATATAAATATATTAAATATTAATTTTAAAAATCGGTTCAGGCTAGGCACGGTCCGAAAAAACTCGCACTTAATTTTGGAAATCCAAACACAATTTTTTCGTCCCGAGTTCAAACCAGATTTTCGGATCGTACCTATTTTTGTCACATCTAATTTACGCTCTATGTGATATTTTTTAAGAAAAAAGCATTCAACTCTCTATACAAAATCGGATTGGATTTTTAAGGAAAAATTTAATAAATTTGACCTTATATCATAATTTCCCTAAGGATTTGTGTAATTTTTATTTTTATTTAATGAATTTAGAAAATAAATGGTTATTGTGTTATTATTATGATAATTTGAGTAAACTCTAATTAATTTTTTTTTTTTTTTTTTGGTTATTCATTTAGTTCGTCGTTCTAGATTTTGTTGTAATATATTATATTTTCTGTCTCATTTAATTTGTCAGCTATTTTTATTTTTATTTGTTCTACATAATTTGTCAGTTATTTCTATTTTCATTTGTTCTACATAATTTTTTATTTTTTTGGAAATATAATTATACACTTTAATCACATTTTAAGATTCATAATTTATAAAAAAAAAAATTTATTTTAAGTAAACTATATAGTCATTTTAATCTTAATTTATAACCATTTTTATTAAATTATAATTATTTTTACAAATACACTTCTTAATTACTTACTAATTAAGTAACAATTTAAGTTGGACGAAGGGAACATATAACATGGGAGTAGGTGGGTTGTTGAGGATTACAATTCAATATTGAGTGTGTAATTAAGGGTAGTAAATTTTTACTTTAAATATGTTTTGAAGTTGCATATGAAAACATAAGAAAGTAGTTAAATTATTTGCAAATTGTAAAGGGTATAATATGATTAGCTTTTAGATAATTAAACGACCAATTTGATATATTTATTTTTTTCCATAAGATTTACCTTCGTAGTAAATAAGCTTCTTTAATATGTGTGGAATGTAATAATTTATATTTAGTAGGAATAAGTGTCACTCAGAAAAAAAAAAAAAAAAACTTTATATACAAAATATATTATTTCGGTTTTTAGTAAAAGTAAGTTCGTAGCATAACGTGCACACTAATAAATGCATTAATTTTTTAAAAGTAAAATTTAATAATTTATACTCTTTTTGTCCATCAAATATAATTCACTTTTTTTGTAAAATACAAAAAATAGACTAATTTTACCGAACTGAGAGAGTATTTATTACATAAATATTTTATATAGTTGTAACACGTGCACTTGAATACATATATAATTATCTAGCAAACATGGTATATTAACTTTTTATTCCTTTGTTACTTACTTCGTTGATCATTTAAATAAAAGCTTCTTTGATGTGTATAATCGAACAAATTGTATTTAGATAATGATCGTGTTTGTCAACCGTAAGTACTTAAATATATGCATATACATAAGTTTCTTTATTTTTTGTTATTTAATAACTTGCATTTAGGAACAATAAATTTTTTATGGCCATGACAAGTGTAACTAAAAGCATTCGATTATCAAATAATATTGCCAATTTTCATCTATTACTCACTTACTTCGTCATACCTTTAAAACACGAACTTTTTTAGTTTTTAGGTAGGATCTAATAAGTTATACTTAATGTTTCCATAGTGTTCTTGCATGCGAATGAAAATTTCCAACAAGGGGACGGCGTCATTTTTACGCATGGTGTTTACTTTGTTCACGATTTGTCGTAATAGGGTGAATCAATAACAAAAGAATAAACTAGACAAAGGTTTTAAGTTTGTTTATTTTGTAAAATAATTTGAAAAAATATTTTCTTCGTGAAGGATAAAAAATTGTGTGGACAATATAAAAATAATATATGTGAAATCAACTTTATCCAAAGAAACATGATTCATGACAAAGTTTTCATTTTAAAGGATAGACCTTATTCTATTAAAATGAAATTAAAAGAACCCTTTGGATATATCATGTGCATGTGCTGACTTACTAATTTATTCAGCAATATGGTAAATTAATTATAGCCATTGATAATCCTAACTAAGTAAGAATAATTTAATTCATTTTAATTATGAGAAGTTATGAATAAACCCCAGCACTCGTTGAATTATTAATTTATACACACAATCCTCCTTGCACTACAAAAAAAAAATAATAATATATTTGTAACGGAATTCCGTCCCGAAAGTTCACGTAGCTAACGTAATTTCATTTTCATTCCTAATTTCGTCTCTAATGTCATTAGTAACAGAAAAAGTAGATTTAGAGAAAAAAAAAATTTTGTTACAAAAATGATTTTTTCTTGTAGTGTTGTTAAAAAAAAAATTTAAAATATATAATTCTCCCAAGACAAAAATACAAATAATATTATAAATAAATTTTCATATGATTAAATTAAAGATAAATTTTATTTATAAATGCAAAAAAATAAATCACTTTCAATTTCTTAAGTGTAACAAATATTTTTTATACTCCATATAACAAGTTAAAACTTTCTCCACCAGCTAATTTTAAACTCATTTCTTTTACACATTTCTTTTGTTATTTATCAAGGAAATGTGTATAAAATTAGCGGAATGAAAGAGCATATATATATATATATATTCATAAAAAATAATTATCCATAAAAAAATACAGTTTTTTGAATTTATAAATTTAAAATTAAAAAGAAAATCATAAAAAAAACTGTAATTGTTCATATTTTAATTTTAAAAATTGTCGAGAGTTTTGGAAATTGACTAATTGAGAATAAAGGACCTAATACCATTCTCATATATATATATATATATATATATATGCAGTGGTGAAGCCACATGGGGGCTCGGGGTCCCGAGCCCCCCAGCCATTGTCCAACCATTACATTGATAATATTGTTGGTTATATAAATTATTTGTTTGTTCAGATCAATTAATTCTTATTATTTTATACTTTTATGGAATTGAATACGTTAATATATATATATATACCATCAATTTTGTTTAAAATAATAAAAATATTTATTTTTTTCGGCCTCTTCGGTCTCAACAACACCTTTAGCTGAGGAACGATTCTTGCTCCGCCACTGTATATATATGATTTGGTATAAAATATAGATATGTTGAAATTGGATAAATATTGGGAACTCTAGAATTAAATATATAGATGTTGAAAGAAATATTTTCTTGATAGAAGAGTGAACAAAAGAACAAAAGCACAAACAAAACCAAACCAATTATCAAATAAACAGCAAACAAATTCACTACAAAAAAAAAATAATATATTTGTAACGGAATTTCGTTCCTAAAGTTCACGTAGCTAACGTAATTCCGTCTCTAATATCATTATATTAGTAACGAAAAAAATAAATTTAAAAACGAAAAACTTTCGTTATAAAATTGATAATTTCTTGCGGTGAAAATTGATTAAAAACACATGCTAAAAATAATATTTGAAGCACCAATTTTGTGCCTGTAATAAATTATTGGGTATTATTATGTCAAAAGACAAGACTATTACAGACACAGACAAAAACCAAACAAACAGCAAACTCACAACCATTAACAACTAGTAGCCATTAATGGCTGCCGCCGCCGCCAACGGCTAGTAACCACTCCCACCGGAAAACCCACCAAAAGAAGAACCTCCACCACCAGAAGAAGACCCACCGGAAAACCCTCCAAAAGAAGAACCTCCACCACCACCAGAACCACCGGAAAACCCTCCAAACCTAGAAGAAGACCCGCCGCCGCCGCCGCTACCACTACCTCCAGCGCCGCCAGAAAACCACTTATCCGCCTCCGGCGCCTCAACCACCTGCTTAAGGCTCCGATCCGGTCTGCCCGCCGCCTGCCCGGGGGCAGCGCCGCCTGTCGGCGCCACCTGCATGCCTAGTTCTTCAGCCCTGTTCTTCAGCCTCTTAATCATGTCCGTCGCCATGGCCTCCACCATTTCAAGCTCAGTCACGTGCATGGTTTCAACAGGCTTCTTGGCAAGCACGTGATGGCCCTCCTTCACAAGCACAGCCTCCTTCAACTTAGCAAGATTCTCCCTTTCGGTATTCAGAATTTGCTCGATGTATTTCTCGTGAGTCACCATTTTCTTGTTCCTTTCGAGCAATGGAAACTCCATAAATTTGTCGACCCTCTCCGCCACTTCCTCCGGCGACGGCCAAAGAATCATATTGCTTTCGCCGCCTTGCTTGTGGCCGATAATGGCCATGTCAACGCCGCAAAGTGTCTTCAGTTGCTCGGCCTTCTTCAAGAACCCTTCGGTTCGTTTGGCGAGGATAGAGTTTCGCTTGTTTTGATTCGCGATTTGCTCGTGTTTTATCCTCTTTCGCGCCATTTTATGCTCGATGTTTTTTTATGTGATGTTTTTTAAGAGAAAATTGCGACTCTATTTATACTAGAGGATTGGGCTTTTAAGGAAAATTTTAATAAATTTGAGTTATCATAATTTCACTAAGGATTTGTGTAATTTTTATTTCTTAAAATGAATTTGAAAAATAAATGGTTAGTATGTGATTATTATTATAATTGCAGTCAATGTTCATTAATGTTTTTTTGTTATTCTTATAATCTTTCATGATTATGATAATTTCAGTCAACTGTTGAAGATTACAATAATATGGTGTAGGTAATTTTTGTAAGATTTTGGTGTATTTAGATATGTTTTGAAGTTGCATATGTAAATATAAGAATATAGTGTAGTTATTTGTAAATTCTTAAGGGTATAATATGATTAGTTTTTGGATAATTATGTGAAAATTTTGAAATATTTACTATTTGCCATAATATTTACCTTCCTCGTATATGTGCTGAATGTAATTATTTATTAATTATTTTACGGTGTCGAATCTACTTTTTCCTTTTTAATAAAAATAAGTATGTAGCATAGTGTGCACACTAGTAAATATATTAATTTTTGAAAGTAAGAAATACAATAACTTATAATTAATTGCAAAAGCATTTTTTTTTTGTCGTGATAGATATAATTATTCGCGACAAATTTAATTTTTTTCCAAAATAAGTATTTGATAGTTGTAACACGTGCACTTAAAACATATTGAAACATCTAACAACAAACTTGAATTATAAATATTTTACTCTTTAGTTTTTTACTTCATTTATCATTTAAATCTAAACTTCTTCCATGTCTATAATCATACAACTTGTACTCTTAAAGATATATAAAAATTTCTTTATTTTATAGAATTAATTATATGCATTTAGGAACGATAAATATTTGACAATCATGGCATGTTTAATTAAAAGCATGTAGGATTATCAAACAATCTCGTCAAAAATCATTTATTACCGGTTTACATCGTTGTTATACCTTTAACTATAAACCTCTTTTACGCGTGAAAATGATCTAATAATTTTTACTTAATGTAAGCGACAAATAGATTTGTTAATGCAATTCGATTATAAACAATCAAGAAGATATCATCAAAATACAGGATTTCTACAGATCCTCAATGATTCAACAATCAAAGTTCACAAATAACTCAAAATAGAAATGAACATCACTTCTAATTTTGGATTCCATCTTAAAAATTTCTTGCAATCAAGAATTGTATCCTCAGATTGTGAAAGTCTTTTGTCAATCTTTAGATCTTCCAAAGTGGTCTATCCTTGTTATCCAATTGTCTCAACATCGGCTAGCTAGGATATATATTTTATAACTTATTCAATCTAACCTAGAGGCACTTAAGAATTATAAACTTCAAAGTTTTGGGCATGGACTTCCCATGTGTGTCTCTTGTGCATTGAGTTCCTTCACTATAATATATTTTTTCAAGATTTATATGCACACTGTTCTTCTTTTGTCTACGTAATTTTTAACTTAGTGATACCTATATTCCATAGAGAGATGGTTTCCAATTGCAAAGGCAACGGTTTAGCTTAACAATTTTAACAAACTTGACTAACTAACAATTATTATAGGTCCTGTCAAGAGAATGTTATGACTAACTTCCTATATTATATCTTCATTTTGATCATCTCGTTAGATCAAGTGTGTTTACTTATAAGATTTGTGTTTTGGATTTTGATTTTAAATAGTAAAATTTTGAATTGAAATAGTTGTTTGATGTGATAAAAATATGTATTGATGTGATGTTTTGAATGTAAAATTCTTGGATCTAGCGTCGTGAAATCAACTTCAACCATATTTGTACTTTTGTGTACATCAAAATAAATAAATAAGTAAAAAATCTTAAGAAAATCCTCATTTTGTGTTGCTATAACCCATAATTTAATTTAGTTCACGTGTTTAAATTTTCACAAAGATATTAACATACACTTCCAAATAGTAGTTTATGATATGCAAAAGTGTATATATAAAGAGGTTTAGCAAAAGATATGCTACTAAAACTAAGGATGTATTTCTTTACGGAGGTTTGGGAAAAATTTGAGTTTGAGTTTCGATTTGATTTAAATTATAAGATGTGTTTGAATTTGTGTGTAGGTTTGTTTGGATCTTCAGAGTTTTGATATGTATTAATTTAATAGGTAATAAATATAATAATATAAATGTGTATTAAATTTAAATTTTTTAAATTAATAATAGTATGATTTGGGTGTGAATTTATATTATATTTACATATATATTTATAAATTTTTATTTATTTATATTATAAAATAATTTATTATCTACGTACAAAATAACATATATTTTGTATATATTTTATTAAATTATAATTATTATAATGATCAAGTAATTGATTTGCCGAGTATTTGCACGGCCTAGCAATGTTTTTTCTAAACTTTAAATTTAAATAATTTTTTTTAATTTTTTATTAGGCAAAATTGTCTATAACTTCCTTGTGGTTTCGAAACTCAGCGTAAATTCCCCTCTACTTTAAAAATTGCATGACGCCCCTTACACTTTAAAAAATGTTGCATGAAACCACTTTGTGATTTCGAAACTCAGCATAAATCCCCGTTTTATTTTAAAAAATTGCATGACGTTCATTTATACTTTAAAAAATATTGCATAAAACCCCCATGTCACGCAAAACATACGGATAGAAAATCTTCTTTATCATATGAGGAAAGTTTCATGGTTGTGGGGTTTTATGCAACGTTTTTTAAAACACAAGGGAGTACTACGCCGTTTTTAAACTACAGGAAAAAACGGCGCCGAATTTCCAAACCAAGGGTGGATGTAAGCAGTTCTGCCTTTTTTTTTTAAAAAAAAAAAGTAGGTTAAGGCAGCAAGCTGCAGCTTATGTCATGTTAGGAGGCTTCGGAACCTCTTTTACCGTGCATTGCGCACAGTAATTATACAGTAAAATTTGACCAAATTCTCCTAGAAAAACAAATTTTAAAATAAGTGTATTAATGAAACGTGGAAAATATGTATATATTAGCTTTATTTTTAAACTTTAGAGTGTAAATAAGTATACTACTCTCTTTTTTGGGGAGACATATGCCAAAAAAGCTCATTCTTTATAAGCAACTGTAACTTCTTCTTCATCAACCTGGAGTGGTCTGGAGCATCAAACTTCATTATTCATAAAATTTGTGTACACAACTTCTTTTTTTTTTTTTTTTTTTTTTTGGCTGTGATTTAATTAGACAACTCAACATTGGTTTGATGTATTGCATCATCAAATCATGAAGTTACTACGTTGATACATCACCACTACAAAAAAATAGTATATTTGTAACGGAATTCCGTTCTTAAAGTTCATGTAGCTAACGTAATTTCATCTCTAATATCATTAGTAACAGAAAAAGTGAATTCAAAAACGAAAAAATCTCGTTACAAAATTGATAATTTCTTGTAGTACACCCCCAAAAGGGTGATCCATCATTAAAATTGTCTTGATGCTTTATAAGGGAGCCGGAGCAGAGGTGCAACTTTTGTTGGATTGCAAACTCAATTCTCATATTAGAAAATTAGAAAAAAAATTCAAATCTTAAGTCTCGCATGTAATAATTCCATTAGTATGAGACTTTTTTGAAAATAATTTTATATGTTGTATATTTTAGCCTTTTAGAATAGTTATTTTGCTTTAATTTCTTTTATTTTTTAGGTGTGCTTAAAAATAATTCATTCTATTTACATATATTAATATATTTTTTCATTACAATATTTATTTATTTATTATTTTAAAATATATTTTTAATAATTGCAAAATTACTTTTTTAAATTTAAAGTAATTAGTAATTTGTTATATATAAATTATTTTATATGTAAAATTTTAATTTAAAAAGAAAAAATAAAAAATATATATTAAAATGATTAATTTATTTATATATACTATATATTTTTTTGTCACCTAAATTTTTTTATTATTGATTAATATATTAGAATAAATTTATTTAGAATTATAAATTTAATGAAAAATTAATTAATTATCAATTAACTTAATACTCATTATGTTTGCTCAGTGTTTTTTTTATGTGTAGTATTGAGAACTGTGCTGGTAATATAAAATATAATATTTTGTATTTAATAGTTAATTTTTAATCACTGGATAATATATATTATATTAGTGTGTGTATTTTTTATTTTTTAATAGTATTTATGCCTAATTATTCCATTGAGAAATTTTAGTAAACAGAAAATCATATTTATATTTTTTCAATAAAAAATCATTGATCCTCTTACAAAATACTTTGAAAATAACAAAAACAAATATTTTAATACTACCTCCGTTCGGCTTCAAGGGTCTCGTTGCATTTTGCGTGTTGAACTTTGAATATTAATTATTATGTCAAAACGTATTACAAATTAAAAAAAATGCAAAAATACTTCGATTAGTATCTTATAATACTAATAGAAGGAAATTTATAAAAAAAAAAATTATACGAATATAATGATATTTTTAATGTGAAATACAATGATGCAAAAGATAAATCGGATCTTTAGAGGGGGACGGAGGGAATTTTTTTTTTTTAATTTTCATTAAGTAATAAAAAATTTAAAATAATCCTACACACCGAAAAAATGCAACTAATTATTCTAAAAATAAAATACAAAATACCCTTAATTATCATTTTATGTATAAACTTATTATCAAACAGTTATTTTTTTAAATACTTTAACACAAAGAAGCTAATATATTAAGTTAGTCAAAACTATGTAATTGAATCAATTAACAACTAATCGAATCAGCTAATAGTTCTCTAACATTCCCGAAATATTTTAAATATATAATCAAATTTTAATATACTCCCTCCGTCCCAGATACCATGTCCACGTTGCCGTTTTTGTCCGTCCCACATACCATGTCACTTTCTTTTTTTGAAAAATAATTACACACTTTAATCTCATTTTAAATTTTTAAATTTTTTTTTTAATTTTAATTAAACTAATTAGTTATCTTAGTCTTCATTTATAATTATTTATATTATAGAATAATTATTTTTATTAATACATTCTTAATTATCTACTAATTACACCTCTCCTAAAATACCGTATCTACGGTGTAGCAGATATGGTACCTGGGACGACGGAGGGAATAATCAATAACATTCCCGAAATATTTTAAATATATAATCAAATTTTAATGGAGTATAATAAATAAATAATGTATTTTTTATATTTTAAATAAAAAAAGGTACTCCTAAATAATAAAAACCCTCGATACCATACAACCCTCGGAGCTCATCTCGTCAAAAGTCAAAAACAGCTCCCTATACATAGGCCTTTGTGCTTCAAATGTCATAACAACAACTTGTAAAGCGCATTATGAATTTCGTACCACATGAATACTTAGGAATTTGTTCTTTTTAAAATTATCCTAAAGAAAATAAAATTACTCCCTCCGTCCCGTTGATAGGGTGGCGTTTGCTTTTTGCACGTAGATTTTTTAATATTAGTATTATATTAGGTTGCAGTAAAAAAGACAAAAATATCCATATTAGTATAGTATAATATATAAAAGTAATGACATTTGTGTAATATATTGTAAGTTGAAAGAGTATTTATTATGTTAAGTAGGTAGTACAGTTACTAAATTAAGAAATGGTAACCTTATTTTGAGACGGACGAAAATGAAAAATTATAATCTTTCAATGAGACGGAGAGAATATTTATATTTCTAAATAAAATATATATCTATATAATTTTTTTATTCCATGAAATAATCACACACAATTATTTCACCTTAAATAAACAACAAAATTAATTTATTCAAACAACATATTTCTCATGATATTTTTACATTTCTCCATAAGTAATCTTCAAAAATCCAAACCATTATGTTAGTGTTTTGTTTTTATTTAAAATTAAAATTATCGTTATTACTGTTGTCAATAAAATATCAAATTAAATATTATTTATATGAAAATAAAATTCAAATCAAACTCTTCGTTCGAAACCAAAACTAAACAAACCCTACGGATTTGTTCCTTTTGAGATGTCTCCCATGTTTTGGGCATTTTAATTGTATATTTTCGAAAAAAATATATTCTTTATTTATAAAATATTTTTTTATTAAAAAATTTCTATTCTTTCAAACCTAATTCGAATTGAAAAGAAACACACACTTAAAAACTGAATTCATGTTCTAACACACCATACATATTCCCAACCTTGTATGCATGTTAAGGTTATCTTAACCGATCGCCACCGACAGCTTGAGGAGCCGTCGAGCCTGACAAATAGGGCAAGCGATGCGCCACCGGCATTTCAACAACAAATCCATCATCTTTCACCATAAAAAAAAAAATAAAAAAAATAATCTTTGGGTGTGTTTGTCCGTTGGCTTTGATTTTTTAATTTGAATTTTTTAATAGTAAAAAGTTAAATTTGAATAATTATTTGATGCAAAATAAATATACAGTGTAATATAATAAAACTGGATAATTTTTTTATTTGGTACTTTTGAACAAGAAATAAATTAAAGAACTTTATCTAATTAAACTAATCTCATGACTCAAACAACCTCTCAATATCTAAAAGTTTTACATTTTAACTAGCCCCGCCTTCGACATCCCCTTTGTTAAAACACAAATTGTATTATTACAACCTAAACAACATATGTTTTAGGCACAATACAAAGAGGTTCTTTCTTACACATCGTAAGCCCCGGCAAAGCATCCATATCGATGTCTTCCGGCATAACACCTTCCGGAAACTCCCAATCAAATGCATAGACAAGATTCGCAACGATAAGTTCTAGAGATGTAGTTGCCATAAATAAACCGGGGCAAATTCTCCGGCCGGATCCAAATGGAATCACTCGAAAATCATGCCCTCTAACATCTATGTCAGAATTCAAAAATCGTTCGGGCAAGAACTCTTCTGGATTGTCCCAATTCTCGGGATCTCTTGCAATGGCCCATGCATTAACATACACTATTGTTTTGGGCTCGACTTCGTAGCCTTTAAGGATGCCCTTATCCATAGTTTCTCGAGGCACGAGGAGGGGTGCCGGAGGGTACAATCTTAGTGATTCATTGATGACTGCTTTCAAGTAGGGAAGTTTCTGCAATTCATCTTCATCGACAAGATTTTTCTGGCCTAGGGTTTCTCTGATCTCCAATTGTAGTTTCTTCATTACATTTGGTGACTTCATTAGAGCTGTCATTGTCCACACAATTGAGGCTGCAGTTGTGTCTATTCCTGCAATGAAAATGTCCTATACAAACAACTGTAAGAAAATAGTTCTATGATATACTATACATTGAATTTCAAATTTATGAAGTTAAACAATGGATTTCAAATATTCCTCTTTTTTTTTGAATAATTATTTAATACTACTATCTCTGTCTGCTTGAAAGGTATTAATTTTACTGCTTTTGATCCTACAAATACAAAATATTAAGGTAAAATTGTTCATAACTCCCGTGTGGTTCGGAAATTAAACGTAAAATTTTCATATACTTTAAAAATTGTATCACACCTTTTATACTTTCAAAAAAAGTTGCATAAAATCTCACTGCCATGAAAACTTCCTTTATGATAAGAAGACGATTTCCTATATGATGTTTTGCATGGGTTCATGCAATATTTTTTAAAGTAAGGGAATGTTATGCAATTTTTTAAAGTAAAGTGGGGATTTATGTTGAGTTTTTAAACCACGGTGGTGTTTAATGCAAACATTTTATAAAGTATAAGGTGGTATCATGTAATTTTTAAAATAAACAGAAATTTACGTTGAGTTTCAAAACTATAAAGAAGTTCAGAACAATTTTGCCAAATATTAATTTATTTTTTAATCAATATGTACTTCATTAAGAATCATCCGAAATTGTATTAGAATATACTTTCTCCGTTATGTAAAAAATAAGTTCATTTGGTAGCTTATTTAGTTTGGGTACGACTTTTAATTTGATGTATATTTTTCGTCTTTTATAGTAAAAAAAATAAATCATATGTAAAGGAAATAAATCAGTAAAGCGAACGTAAACAAATTCATACGTAAAGTGAACGTGAAGGAATAAAATTCATTAAACATTGTCCTAAAAGTAAACAAATACTTTTTGAGCCAATTGATGGAAGAAGTTCATTGCAGATACTTCTTAATGCCAAATACTTATATATTTAAGTTTTATAAAATTTCAAATATAAGATAAAATTAATATTCATGCACTTTGAAAAATGAGATAATTTATGAAGCTTTATTCTTTGCTAAATTTAGCTAGTCTTTCTTTCTTTCTTTAAGTCTAATTTAAACTGAAAAGTAAAAATTTCTGCAAATATTGATACTCACCATCAACAATGCTTTGATGGAATTCCAGCTGAGTTCAACAGAGCAAGAGCTGCCCTCTCGAAGTCGAATCAAGACATCAAGAATGTCATCCTGATCCTCGTTGATCTTCGCCCTTCCCGGATCGAGATGCTCGTTGATCAGCTCTTGGTAGAACTCATCCAACTTCTTCCAAACCTTCTCAAGCCGACGAATCGATCCACAAACTTTATCGATCCAACTCAGGAGGGGAAAATAATCCGAAACAAAGAAAGCCGACATCATGGCTTGAGAATCTTGTAAAAGGCCATGGAACTTTCTTATATCGACCCCTTCTTCGTCGTACCTCTTGCTAAAAGCAGTTCTACACAACAAAATGCTCATAACCGACGTGATCATCTCATCAAATTTGATAACTTTGCCGGACTCAGCGAAGGCTGAGATCCTTTTGATCATACGAGAGACCTCGTCTTCGCGAATCCGGCGAAAGGATTGGTTCTTCTTGCTGTTCAAGAGATGGACTGATGTGATCTTCTTGACCTCCCTCCAATAATCGCTGTAAGGCGAAAAGGCGATGTTGGCGCAATCGTAAGAAAGCTTCCGCAATCCTAAGTGGTTCGCACGGCTGCAGAACGCCGAGTCTTGTGTTTTCAAGACTTCTTTGGCTAGCTCGGCCGAGGAGACGACGAGCACGGGGACGGGGCCGAGCTTCATGTGCATTAGAGGGCCATAGTTGTTGGAGAGCTGCCATAGATGGACATGAAGGTTTGTTCTTGATCTGAATTGAAGGAGATTTCCTATCAATGGCAGGCCTGGTGGACCTGGTGGAATTAGGGTTTTTGTTGAAGTTGTTCTTGGCATGATCAAATATATTAGAATTATTGGGAGGATTGAGATTAGTAGGGAAATTGTTAGGATCATTTTGGATGATGAAGGAGAGATTTGATCTTGAAATGTTAAGAAGTGTGGAGATGGATGATATACGAGGGAAAGTGCAATAAATAAAATGGGAACAAAAAAGACACGGTCCGATAATTGAGAACAGAACCACATGTTTGTACTTTGATATGTGTTTTTGGAACGTGTTTTGGGCATTTCGAAGAGTTTTTGAATTTGTAAAAAGTTAATAAAAAAATTGGTGTGTAATGTTATGGATATAAATTGTTTAAGGTATATTTAGAAAATGCATGTATTATGGGTACCGACTAGGTGCTGACCCAATTTGATCAGGTTAGCATATCGCATAAAGGCGTACAATACATATTTTTGTATGACACAATATATGTTGTGTTATAAAATATTATATGCTGAGTTATAACATACAATATTTTATAATATATATTGATTACTTGATGCGATATACTGACTCGATTAAATCAACACCATAGTGATTTGATATACGAGTTCTTATCATTGAAATAGAGATAATTTTAATTTCATATTTCAATATGTATCAAAGTCAAAAAATTTTCGGATACATCCATAACACATCAAATCTCGTACTTGTTGATATAATTCTTGATATATATGTCTCTCGCCCTGTAATACCTCTGAAGTTGGGTCGGTGCTAGGTCAACTCCCGTAAATGGATGAGTCGGTGTTAGGCTATCCGAGATTGAATAGAGATTAAGTAGATTGAATAGACTACTTATGCCAACAATGTGCACATCCCTTTTCGGGAACCTTACTGAATACGCTTAACTCTAGAGTAATTTAAGGATGGGTGACCAAAGGGAAGTCTCTTACAAAGCGTGCTGAAAGACTCGTGTTGACCTATGGGTCAATCTCTAATCCCCATAAACCCGGCTTTGTGTGGCTTGTGGGGCCAGGTTGTCACTATTTGTATCAAAGTCGACCTACGACAGGCCACAGTCGTTGACCTAATTGTTGAGGGCCCTAGCCGTTGACAGATCATTATGGTGCAACATGGACATTGCATTCTAAAGTGGAGGAGGATGTAATACCCCCAGAGTTGGGCCGGTGCTAAGTCAAATCTCGTGTATGGATGAACCGGTGCTAGACTATCGGAGATTGAATAGAAATTAAGTTGATTAAATAAATTACTCATGTCAATAATGTGCAAGTTAAGAAATTTAAGGATGGATGACCCCTGAAAAGTCTTCTAGAGTACGCGTGAGTGAGAACAAAACGCGCTGAGAGAACTTGGGTTGACCTATGAGATCAGTCTACGATCCCGACATATCCGATCTTGCGTGGCTTGCGGGCAGGATGTCACAAGCCCGAGCCCATGGTCCAATATAACGAGGGCCATTATATATTTATATTATAATACATAATTTCTATATATAGAACTTATTTGATATATTTATAACTTAAAAGTACGTAGCTTGGTGGTGTGATGTGAGTTTTTAACGGTGAGTTTATGGATTATAATTTATAGTATTTTAAAATTTTGGAATTTTGTAATACTATTTTTGCATATAAAATTGTTAGAAATATTATTTTATTTAATTTTTTATATTTTATCATAAATAAAAATATATTCTATATATTTAGGGGCCTCTGTTTTGTTTTGTTTAGAACCCCTTGAAAGTTAGAACCGATTTTGTTCACTACACCATTGTCGCCATTTTGATATCCACTAACAAAGCTACTCTAACGACGTGGAGAGTTTTTTACTCTGCTGTTGAGAAAAAACTTCAGAATGTATAAATATCTGCTGGGAAAAAATCCGAGTATGAAAAAATAGTGTAGAAAATCTATGTGAACGTCTACTATTTTTTTTTTTTTTCTTTCTTTCTTTTCTGTTGATGTGCTGAAAATTCATGAAGTGTTCTTTTATTGGTTGTGAAATTTCTTAATTCATGTTTTTCTATGTGAATAATATCATGCATTTGTCCAAAAACTTAGGTGGAAAATAAGTTCTTATTGTTGTGATATGTGCAATTCCTAGATATAGTTTGTATTCTAGGTTGTATGTGTTTTCCAGGAATAACTTTGTAACTGTTTAGTTTGTGTGCTAATGTTAATATTAGCTTTCGGTCGAGCTTGTACGGTTTTTTTTTGTTGTTGGACTTCTTCCAGAATATCTCGTACTAGTGAAGTTCACGTGAAATTTATAGGTTATGAGTTTTTCTTCTAATATTCCGATGTGCGACTTAGATTTAGGTCCAATACAACAAATTTGAATAAATATGTTATATTATTTTCTAGTTATGGTTTAAATAATTGAACTCAAAAACAGGGTGTGTTCAATTTGTGTCAATAATATAAAAAATAATACTCCCTCCGTCCATAAATTAATGTCCTACTTTTCTATTTGGGACGTCCAATAACTATTGTCCTATTTTCTTTTTTAAACACAAATTTTACATTTTTACCATTCATTCATTTATTACTTTTAATCTCTGCCATACAATTAAGGACAAATTTGTCAATTCATAACAAAAAAACAATCACCTGAAAAACCGTGCAAATATACTTTAGAATAATAAAAATTGGACGGAGGGAGTATTATTTTTTTGTTGAATTGTTGACTTTTATAAATGAATAAAGTATATATATTATATATATTATCTTAACGGCCGTATATAATATATTTTTTAATAATATTTATGGGAACTTTGTGCCATTACAAAAAAAAAAAAAACAAAGATAGATTTATAATTTGTTTTTGATTTAATATTTGAGCACATTCTTGATAGATTCATAAAAACACAACAAACAATTTACTATATAAATACATTATATATATATTTGTATATATGTTGTCAATTATTCTAGTTTTAGCTCAAATTGCACAGACGAATTGATAGCGATGGCTATTAATGTCAAGTTGAATATTTTATTGCCTTCTAACATCGAGTATTGAAGCTTATCCAATCATTTTTGTGATATTCGATTTATTTGTTTCCTATTCCAATAAAAGTAAATGAATTTGTGGTCCACACATAATTGATAATGAGTATTGATTTTTAAAATTTTGTTAAAATATATATATTAATATATTATTTTATTAAAATATTATTTTTAAAACATATATACTAAACATAGTATAACCTTTTTTAAGAATAAAACAAGATTACTTCTAAAATTTAAATGCTAAAAATTTAAAGCTTTGTTTATAGGTATAGGCCGCAAATTACTTTTGTAGTTTTTTTTTTTTATTGTTATTGGCAATCATTAAAAAATGTATATTACATTTAAATATATCATTTTTGCTTTAAATATAAACCCTTGGTCCAATAGACATTTTTCATTTGACACTTATTTTTTAAAATATAGTACAAATGTAAAGACAATTTGTTTTTATTTTTCGGTGTAAAAGTAATAATATAATATAAAGAAGGAACATTTTTATATTTATATGGAATGTGATTTTACTTTTTAAAAAAAATTGGAAAGATTTGGTAGATTGTCGAAATTAAAGCAAAGCCATACTATTTCTCAGTAAAATTACTTTGTCTATGTTTACTTGTACAATTTTTGATCTGATTTTACTATTTCAATTTTTTTCTCAAAAAATATCAAATCAAATATTTTTTTTTATTTATTATATTACACTAAAATTTAATTTTATATTTAAAACACAACATCAATACATATTTACATCACATCAAACAACTATTTCAATTCGAAATTTTACTATTCATAACCAAAACCAAAAACCAAAATCTTACGCCTTATGAAAGTTTCATCAAAAGCTAATGACATTATCCAACCAACCTCTCATAATTACTTCAAAAACATAATTTTTCAAGGCAATTTCCAAAGTTTACAATGTAAATAATCGTTTAACCTAAAAAATTAAGCTGATAATGATACATATCATTTATTTATTTACAAACGAAAATCAACTAACAAACCTAACCAACATGCGGTCTAGGTACAACACAGAGTGGTTCTTTCTTACTCATTGTAATCCCCGGCAAAGAATCCGTATCGACATCTTGCGGTCGAACACCTTCGGGCAACTCCCAATCAAATGCATAGACAAGATTCGCAAGGACAAGCTCTAGAGTTGAAGATGCCATAAATGAACCGGGGCAAATTCTCCGGCCGGATCCAAATGGAAGCATTCGAAAGTCTTTCCCTCTAACATCTATGTCAGTGTTCATAAATCGTTCGGGCAAAAACTCTTCTGCATTGTCCCAATTCTCGGGATCTCTTGCAATGGCCCATGCATTAACATAGACGATTGATTTGGGCTCGACTTGGTAGCCTTTAAGAACGGCCCTTTTGATCGTTTCTCTAGGCACGAGTAGGGGTGCCGGAGGGTACAATCTGAGTGATTCATTGATGACTGCTTTCAAGTAGGGAAGCTTCTGCATTTCATCTTCATCGACAAGATTTTTTTGGCCGAGGGTTTCTCTGATCTCCAATTGTAGTTTCTTCATTACATTTGGTGCCTTCATTAGAGCTGTCATTGTCCAGACAATTGATGCTGCAGTTGTATCTATTCCTGCAATGAAGATATTCTATACATACAGAACTACTATAAGAAGAATAGTTCAATGATACTCCTATAGCCCAAACACTGCACAATATTTGACTTCGGCACACGAATTTAGGTGCATAGTATTAAGTAGGATAATTTGAATATTAAGTGATGTAATGAAATAAAGAAGTATATAATGATTTTTTTATTTTTGATAAAGTGTGAAATATAAATTAAAAATATATAATTATTTTCTATTTTAAAAATATTGCAGGCAGCTTAAAAGGAGAGTATGTTTTATGGAATTTGGGAAATTAGTTGAGTTTATCTTCTTCAATATAACAATTTTATATAATTTTTTTTTTCAAAAAATATCGTATGAATTTTTATATATATATATAACTCTCTTCTTTCAACATTATTTTTCATTTGTAATTTCCAAAAACAATAAATAATACAAAATACCTTTTACAAAAGTTTAAAAAAAAAATTCAAATACTCATTTAAAAAAAAAAAAAATCAAATATTCAACTTAAAATAATACTCCATTGACCCCATATTTATGTACCTGTTTGTTTTTTTTTCACGAAATTTAGGAATATTAGTATTATATTATGATGTAGTACAGATAAAAGTAGCAAGACTACAATGTCCTCGAGGTAAAAAAATTATTGTAGTGGTATGTTTGTAATATAGTGTAATTTTAAAGGTAATTTTAATAGTAGGTATGTTTTAGGGTACTAAAAAAGAAATTGATATTTTATTTTGTGACGGATCAAAATAGAAAAATAGATCGATAATTAAGGGATGTAGGAAATATAATCTATACTTTTAACACAATTTCTCATAACAAAGGACAAAAAATCAATCTATCTAAAATATATCAAAATTAATCAAAACTTGTCCTTGTTTAATTATTTTAATCTCTCTTATTATTTACGATTGATCAAATTAGTAAATATTTATAAAGAAAGTAAACATTATTAATATAATGTATAAAACAGAATTTCATAGCACGTTCTATAATTACATGTAGCAAATATATACTACCTTTGTCCCGTAAAAATAGTAATATTTGTTTTTTGTACGTAAATTTTTTAATATTAATATTATATTGATTTATAGTGAAAAAAAATATATCTATTAGATTGTGATATAAAAGTAATATCATTTGTGTAATATATTGGAAGTTGTAAGGGTATTAATTATGTTAGGTAGGTAGTACAATTACTAAATTAAGAAATAATATTTTTTTTTACGGACCAAAATAAAAAAAAATAATAATATCATTCTTATAAAACGGAGGAAGTATTATAATTTGGCAAAATATATTCCAATTTCAGCACAATAGTAATTTTCAAAGTAATGTGCTAGTTGATACTATGGGCTTGTTTCTTTATCCCAGGTTTGGGCCAAACCTGGACTGTTTCTGATTTGGGGGACAAAGTTGAAAAGGTTTTGTTTTTTTTTTTTTTTTTTTTTTTTATAAAATAATAAAAATTTAAAAAAAATATTAAATATAAAAAAAATTATAATAAATATATATTTATATACAAATATATATGTATATATAAAATATATTTATATACAAATTAATACACATCTATAACTACAGTAGATTTGACTTTTTTTTTTCTTTTAAATTAAAAGATGTTTGATGAATTACTAATTATTTCATCTTAATTTTTTGACTCGTGAACACCCTAACCGCATAAAAATATCTATTTGACTATTTCTAATTGTCAACCATTAGGTCCATTAATGTATTCATTTACTAATTAAATTATTTTCACAAATTAATTATAAAAAAATTATATTTCACTTAAAATTATAATTATACTATTTTTTATAAAATTATATTTTAAGAATAGTTTAATTAATATGATTTTACACACTACCTCTTATATATAAAAAAAAAAAAAAAAATATATCGATAAACAGTAAATAAATTATACATAGGATGTGTTGGTCATTTATTTTCAAATAAAAATATATTGCTGCTTATATTTTCGATTTTTAATAAAAATACTCCTTTCGTTCCGGTCCAAATTAGTGTAAAAAGTAAATTTTTTTGTTCTGCGAGTATAGTATAAAAAATAGTAGCAATTGTGTAATAATAATAAAAAAATAAAATAATTTTACAGTATCCTTCCAACATTAAAGAATCTTTTCTTAGATATCTTTAAAAAATAAAAATAAAAATAATAAAAACCACCTAAGCATGAGCTGGCCATGTAATGTTTTATACATAAAAGAAAATACAAAAACACCACAAGAAAAACATTACAAAACCAAACAATTAATTCACTTTAAGAAACAAAAATAAAAATCAAACCATCCAAAACACCTAAAATACAAAAAGACCACAAATACTACAGGACAAAGAAAAAAAAAACAAAAAAAAAAAATTCACATCTTTTAAGTGTTTAGGTAATAAACACTCTTTCCGTCAGCCAAATTTAAAAATGTAAAGGTAACGTACCTAAATTTTATCGGATGAAAATAATATTTTTTTGAAATATAATTTTTTTATGAACACCCATAAACAAGTTTAAAAGCACAAGAGCAAATATTAGATTCTTACCATCAACAATCCTTTGATAGAATTCCAGCTGAGTTCGACAGAGCAAGAGCTGTCCTCACGAAGTCGGATCAAGACATCAAGAATGTCATAATCATCCTCATCCTCGTCGATCTTCGCCCTTCCCGGGTCGAGATGCTCGTCGATAAGCTCTTGGTAGAACTCATCCAACTTCTTCCAAACCTTATCAAGCCGACGAATCGATCCAAAAGCTCTATCGATGAAACTCAACATAGGAAAATAATCCGAAACAAAGAAAGCAACCATCATAGCTTGAGTATCTTGCAAGAGGCCATGGAACCTTCTAAGTTCGACTCCTTCGTCGCCATACCTCTTACCAAAAGCAGTTCTACACAACAAAATCATCATAACCGACGTGACAATCTCGTTTAATTCGACAACTTTGCCACACTCGGCGAATGCCGCGATCATTTTGACCATACGAGAGACCTCGTCTTCGCGAATCCGGCGAAAGGATTGGTTTTTCTTGCTGTTCAAGAGATGAACTAATGTGATCTTCTTGACCTCCCTCCAATAATCGCTATACGGCGAAAAGGCGATGTCATTGCAGTCATATGAAAGCTTCCGGAGTCCTAGGTGGTTCGCGCGGCTGCAGAACGCCGAGTCTTGTGTTTTCAAGACTTCTTTGGCTAGCTCGGCTGAGGAGACGACGAGAATGGGCACGGGGCCGAAGTTCATGTGCATTAGGGGACCATAGGTTTTGGAGAGCTGCCATAGATGGACATGAAGGTTTGTTCTTGAGCTGAATTGAAGAAGATTTCCAATCAATGGGGGGCCTGGTGGACCTGGTGGAACAAGGGTTTTTCTTGTATTTGTTCTTGGTAGGATCAAAAATATTAGAATTATTATTGGGAGGATTGAAATTAGTAGGGAAATTGTTAGGATCATTTTGGATGATGAAGGAGAGATTTGATCTTGAAATGTTTAACAACAATAGGTATGAATGATATATGATGAGAGCAAGTCCAAATTTTAGTTTTTTTTTATATTTCCATTGGAAATCCAAAGTCGTTATTATTAGAGTGCGTTCTGGCTAAATTTTCGGCTGAATCGAATAGCTTGCAACTTAAACCAACAAAATAAGTTATACTAAATGGACTATGTATAGCAGACAAGACCTGTAGATGTCGGAAGTTTGAACTCATACCTCTCTTTGCAAGCTGATTATATTGTTGAGGGTCGTATATTACCCAACAAGTCAACACATATTCTCCCAACAGAGTATATTTTGTTCTCACTTGCGCACACTTAGAACACTTCTCAAAAGGTGAATTTAAAGTAAGCACGTTGTTTAATTTTAGAATTTTTTCAAGTGGACTTTAAAAAATAAATGTGTGCATTGTAGATATTAGTCTAACAAGTTCGGATACCATATTACTCGGAAGAGGTTAATTTAAAGCAGACACGATTTAAATTTAGAGTTCTTTCAATTGAACTTTAAAAATAAATATGTACATTGTAAACATTAATTTAATAATCTAATATATTTATCTAACTTTTATTCAACTCCAGGAATATCACATCATACTAGCAAAATAGCTCCATAGTAGAAAATAGACCCATTTATTTTTTTTTTACAGATTTTAATATGATTTATCCGTTTTGTTATTTTATACTTTTATATAGAAAAATAAAAAATTGAAAAATGAAGTATAAAAGTAATATATATATATATATGATTTTTTACTAAAAAAAGGTAATTTTTTTTTTTATGATAGACAAAAACAATGAACTTATAAATTATGTATAAATTTATTAAATGTCATTATATTGAATAAGAAAAAAGTCATCTAAGCTACTTGAATTTGGTCGTTTAGTGAAATTGTTTAAAAAGATATTTTTCTTAAATAAAAAAGTTGTATAAATAATATAAAAAAATTAAATGTGTGTCATATATTATTTTCTTTCTTTTAGAAAAATATATTTTTTGAGAAATGTATTTTTCACAAAGAATACACCTTTAATTCAAAATAATATATTTTTCCTCGGAAAGTCTCTACATATCTTCTCCAATCACTTATACATTTTTTCTTTTCGACTTTTATTTTCTTTTAGCAGAACTCGAAACAAGAGCTCTTGCGCGGGATAGTGACCTGCATCCACCCACAACAATACATTCGGCCGATTTTCACATTATAAAATACATATATATATATATATATTTATAAATATTATGTTTATGAGATAAAATAAAATATTTTTAAAAAATTATATAACAATAATTATATAATAATAAAATAAATAAACATCAAACTCCAAAAGATCTGAATCTTATCCTCTATTTACTATTTTCACAACAAACTGGATATGATAGAGATGGAGTTTTGGAACTATGTGTATGTAAAAGGCGGCTCTGCTGCAACATAAAAGACAGCAGATATAATTCAATTCAATCCGGACAATAATTCATGTAATAGGATATACTTCAATTCAGATAATAATTCAAGTAATAGTATATGCTTTCTCTCTATGGAAAAATTATACTCCCTCCGTCTCATATAATAGGGGTGTATTACCATAGATACAGGAATTTAGGTAAAGTATAATTAGTAAATAATTAAAAAGTGTACTAATAAAAATAATTATTATTTAATAAAAATAATTATAGATTAAGATTAAGATAAGTAAATAGTTTAATTAAAATTAAAAAAATTATAAAATTTAAAATTTAAAATGCAATTAAAGTGCATAATTATATTTTCAAAAATAGAAAGGACAAATTATGTGGGACGGACGAAAATAGAAAATATGGACAAATTATGTGGGACGGAGGGAGTATAAATTAGGTTGTACACAAAGACTAAAAAATAATAATATTATAATATTAATTTAAGGTAGTTAAAAAAAATAAAATAGAATATTATTAAAAATTTATTAATAAATTGATAAAAATAATAATAACAATAATAATTCTGTAAATAAAAAAATAGCGGCAAAATTATTATTATTTGTTAAAATATAAATAATAAAATTATAGGCAGATAAAATATTTTATTCTAAATATATAAATTGAGCATACATTTAGCTGACAATCAAAAATTAATACGGCAAACGGAAGAGTATTATATAGTAAATTATCGAGTTTTGAGGTTTAACAAAAAAAAAAAGTATGAAAATTTTGGAGAAAGTGAATATGGCGCACAACGGAAGATATATCAATGATAATGTGCCCACTCGAATCGGTGGTTTGTAGATCGTTCAAACAATCAGCAAATAATCATAAACAAACCACAAAAAAATAAAAATAGATAGAACATACGATTTGTTCATCCAGTTTGGTCCAATTCTGACTTACATTTCGGATACTAACCTAGGATTCATCTACTATCATCAAAGATTCCATTACACTTATTTTTGCAAGTTAAAAACACCAAAACATCAAATACACAACCATATCCATATCGGTAAGCACCGTAACTAATTTTTCACCAGTGTGTGAGCATTCTCCAGACATGGCACGAAACATAGGCATCCTCTTACTTAACTTGTGATGCTGATTGCATCTTCACTTAGAAATCTTTTTGTACTAATCCAATGAATTTTAGAATCAATCTTAACTTGTTCTCAAAGATTCCACCACGAAAGTTTTTCAAAGATTCATGAAAATCCCCAAAATTTACCCATGAAAATAATTCTTATATCCTTTTTCTCAATCAAAATTTTTCTCTCTAAATTCAAATTCTCTTCGATCTCCCCATTTTCACGGCTTAAAATCTCCCATAAATCAATCTCATCCCAAAACAAAATTTATATGATAAAGCATCAATTATGAAAATAAAATAAAATAAAATAAATCATTCATATTTTGACGGTATTATTTATTACTCCATCATTCCCAAAATCAATCCATATAATATTTTCATAAAAATCTCCACACTCATCCACAAAAATGTATCCATATATATCCCAAATCATATTTAAAATTTAAGTAAAATTAAAAATATCTTGCAATTATTTTATTTAATAATAATATATTATGTTATTGTTTTTTAAAATGTTATTATATGGATTGACAATTAAGGTATCTTCTTTTTATTTTAAATTAAAATCAATATGCACAATTTTGAATAAAAATATATAAAAAAAATTTTAGAAAAAACATATTATGAAAAATATTATTTAAACGAAAATTCAAACTAAATCAATTTCAAACTAAACTAAACAAACCCTATATAGGATGGTTTTATGAGTATAAGTTTATCTGCTTTATTTTATCAAAATGTTCAATTCTTGCCTCCAATGGAAGAAGGAAGATCGATGAACAGATCTACCAGTCAAGAGCAGTATGAAAATCGGCGGTGATCTTCTCTACGGATTTGACTTAAGGATGACAATGGATCTAAGTAGACCTGAGACCCGACTCGAACTTAACTCAGTTATTCGGAGTTGGATTTAGTTATTCGGATATCGGATTGGGTATGTTGTACTTTTATCGGGTCAGGATCGGGATTGAGTCCGATCCAAGGGTGGAGCCTATTCACTACAAAAAAAAAAAAAAGTAGTGTATTTGTAACGGAATTTCGTTCCTAAAGTTCACGTAGCTAACGTAATTCCATCTCTAATTCCGTCTCTAATATCATTAGTAACGGAAAAAGTGACTTTAGGAACGAAAAAACCTCGTTACAAAATTGATAATTTTTTGTAGTGATTCCGACCCGGACCGATTAATATATTAATAATATACTCAATTATACCTATAAAAAAATAATTTTTAATAATATAAATTATACTCTCTCCGTTCCACATTGGGTGTCTTGGTTAGTGTAGACAACGTAGACACAAGAATTTATGATAAGTATAATTAGTAAATAATTAAGAATATATTACTGAAAATAATGAACCTATAATATAAATTATTATAGATTAAGATTAAGATAACTAATTAGTTTAATTAAAATTAAAAAAAAATAAATTATAAAAGTTAAAATGAAATTAAGATGGGTAATCATTTTCCAAAAAAACAGAAAGTAACGTGAAATATGGGACGGACAGAAACGGCAATATGGACATGGTAAATAGGACTGAGGTAGTATTTAAGATATGTTTTTTATTTAATTTATTATTTTTTAATATTTTATTATTATATTTTTTAATAAATACATAAATTTTTTAATATATATCGGGTTCGGATTCGGATCAGTTTTGAGTTAAATTATAAAAAGTGTAAAAGTATTTTTCGAGTTTGTCAGGTCCATCGATTTTTGTCGGATATTGTTTGGATCGAGTTCGAATATGGTAGAGTTCAGATATAATCGGATTCAATTCGAATCTCGGATCCAACCATGAAGTATACGGGTCGGATCTCGGGTCCGGCTGGACCCAACCCATTGCCATCACTATATTTGTATTTATTGAAAGGTTTGGTACCTGATATTCGGATCATCGCCATCTTGGGCCATAGTGTGTTTTAAATATTGGATTATTGGCACATTAAAGCGATATATTAGGCAATTAAAAAACCTTTAAATTTTATGATCATTGAATCCAATCAACAAGACATCGCTTTTGCTAATTGGAATTCAGATGGTAATATATATAAAACATTGATTTATTTTCAATGCCGTATTCATAGTTAATACAAGATTTGAATTAAGGTTATTTTATTACGTATAGGGATGTCAAATGGGGTGGGTTAGCCCCGGCCCGCCCCGGACCTGCTCTTAGTGGGGCGGGTTCAGGTCTACAAAATATGCTTCGGAGCGAATTGTAGATTTTAAGTTTTAAATCCGATCGGATTCGGGACGGATTAGGGGTTTTACTAAAACTCCACCTCATCCCGGACTCGGACTCGAACCTGGGAATTTTAATAATTATTAGAATGAATATATATATATGTATATTATGTTTATATACTTTAAATTATATTACATATTTATTTAAAAATTTAAATATAAACTAAAATTTTAATTCCTAAATCAAATTTTTCAATTTGTTTCTTCCTCAATTCTTCACAATCGGGACTATTGTCGTCGCATCGCTTGCCACCGACCGCCTGCAGACTTGTTTTTGGAACTAAAATTTTGCCTCGTCTACCCTCACCGCCATCACTGCGAACCACTGCCAATATTTTTATTGTTCTTGTTTTTAGAATTAAATTTTCTAGTGTTTTATCGCTTACTTTTTTAGTATTACATTATTAAAAAAATTATATTTTATTTAAAAGAAAATAAGTTTTCCGGGTTGGCCCCGAACCTAGAGGATTCGAGACGGGACGGGTCCTGAGACCGGACTTAAGCAGGGCTGGGCGGGGCGGGTCTTGAAGCCTAAGATTTTATAACGGGACGGGTCCCGAGACCTGCAGAACCCGTCCCGAACTCGCCCGCTGACATCCCTAAAATAAGTTAGCAATCCCAAAACCTTGAAAATATGATTGATTATCGATTTTGAAAGAGGGATTTGAATACTCGACATTATGGTACATAGTTGCTACTCTTGCAAATGGTAAGATTGCAGCCTACGGTACTTGTATATAATACATATAAAGAAAAACAAAAAACATGTTTTTATTCAAAACTTGGTTCTTCACTTTTTTTGGGGGGTAATTTTATTCTAAAATCTCACAAGAGATATTTGAATTTTAGGATATAAAAAGTGATATAATTAACTGAAATAACTGAAATCTAATTGCAACAATAAAATAAAAGTGAAAAACGAGAGTATAGGCCTGTTTGGATTGGCTTATTACTTTTAAACCGTTAAAATTACTTAAAAGGATAACATTTTTATAATTTAATTTAAATTTTATAAATTATATTTAAAGATTTTAAATTAAAGTATAAAAAATGTACTTTTAAATTTTGATTATTTATATTTTAAAATTTTAATTTAAAGATAATATATCAATTAAACATAAAATTACAGTATAATATTATATAATTTGTATTTTATAATTTATTTTAAAATTTTAGAAATTATATTTAGTAATTTAAGTATAATTAAAAAATTTATATACTCCTATTTATATTCGGTATTTAAATTTTAAATTTTAATCCAAATATAGTACATAAATTAAAAATAGTAAATTAATTATATTTTTTAATTTGTATTAAAACATAATATATAAGTTATTTATTTTTATATTGTATTTATTATTATTATTATTATTATTATTATTATTATTAAGGATAAAATAGTAATTTTAACTGAAAAGTAGTTCTGTGCTTTTTTTAAAAGTAGAAGTCAAAAGCTCCTGCCATAAGTCAATCCAAACGGAGTCATATATTTTGTTTGAATTTTGATTCTAAATAGTAATTTGAACGTGATGTTTGAAGAAAAAAATATATATTGTATTTTACAAAAGAAAAAAAAAATATTAATAAAATTGAATGTTCCATTAAAAAAAATAAAAAAGGACAAAGTAGAATGTATATATATCGGGTTTTGTCATCTAATGATTTTATTAGTAACATTCCTTATGAATATTATAAAAAAATATATAATATATATTGATATTAACATAATATATATATATATAAGATATATACTTTATTCACTCGTAAAATATTATTTTTATACTAGCCTATTATCTGTACGGGTAATTATAGAAATGATGATATTTCATTTAATTTAATATTTTAAATAATAAATTTTATTTTGACAATAAATTTTTTTATGAAGATAGCCTAAATTAATTTATATAAAAAATAAATTATAATAAAAAATACAATAACTAAACCAAATAAAGAATATTAATTGAATCATAAATTTCATAAATATATATTCAATTTAAAGTCAAACATAATATAGAGATGAAAAATAATTATTATTAATCTCTCTTAAATTAAAAATTAAAATAAATTTGAAAGAAGTTTGTACCTATCAATGATAAATAAAAGTAATTATTAATATTTAAACAATATGCTAAATAATATATATAGTAACAAAAAAAAAGTAAATAAATAATATTAAGTAAGTGAATTATAAATCAAATCAAATATCAAATATATATATATGACAAAATACTTTAATTTGTGCACTATCATAATTTTAGAATTTTTATTTATTTTTTAAATAATAAATTTGGATAATTAGTTAAAATTTGTTATTCTAATCAAATAAAATTCAGATTTATCAAGATAATAAATAACAAAGATACGTATAAAATTAGGGTTTTGTATATCTATATATATATAGACTTAGACTTAAAAGATTAAGTCAAAATTGACATAACATAAATTATTATGAGATTTTCGTCAACTGTGCATTTGGAAAAACGGAGATCCCGCTTCATTGACCGTCGGATCAATCAGAAATTTTCAAGAAATGTTCATAGGTTTGTTTCTTTTATCTTTATTTTTCTTAAATACGTGGTTTTTGTTGGTTGATGTAACGATGATTGAATATGTTTATATGTATTCTTAAAAACTCTTATATTTTATTTAATTATTATAAATTTTCTACTTTTGGTTTGGACAACCCATGATTATTTTTTTTCGTATTTTATTTACGCATATAATTTGTTATTGTTCAAAACAAGTGAATGGTTTTCCACATGAAAAAATATAATTATCTCTTTATGTATATAATTTTTTATCATTTCTTATATAGTCAAAATTTTATAATAAATTTACTTTACTATAGGAAGAATAAGAAATTATATACATAAATAATATATAAAAGAGGTAATGATATTTTTTTCATATGGAAAATCTTTCACTCTCTTTGAACAACGATTTATATGCGTAAATAAAATACAAAAAAAAAAAAAAAAAAAAAAAGAGAGAGAATTTTTCATGTGGAAACCCTTCAAGGTATAAATAAATAAATAATCACGAGTTGTCCAAACTAAAAAGTAAAAAATTCACAATAATAAAACAAAATATAAGAGTTTTTAAGAATACATATATTAAATGTTCAATCATCGTTAAATCAACTAACGAAAATTATATATTTAAGAAAAATAAAAATCAAGAAAACAAACCTAAAACTTTGTCACGTTCTGTAAATTTCGGGTCGAACTACATGTATCCAACCAATAATCCCAATATTTGAAAAACCAATAATCCCAATATTTGAAAATGCAAGGAATTACGAACACTTCTTGAAAATTTCCTTGATGCGACGGTCAATGAAGCGGGATCGCCGTTTTTCCGAACCTGCGAAGTGTTGTTGGACTAAAATCTTATAGTAATAATTTTTATCAGACTTTGACTTAATCTCTTAAGTATATATAGATATACAAAACTCTAATTTTATCCATATATTTGTAATTTATTATTTCGATAAATCAGGATTTTGTTAGATTAGTTGTTATCTAATTGATTATCCAAACTTATTATTTAAAAAAATTCAAAATTATGAGAATGCACATATTAAATTGTCTTATCGTGTGTATATATATGATTACCAATATTATTCTCCATAACTAACATAAAAAATAAATACTCAAAAACATTAAGTGCACAAACCTATAACTAACATAAAAAATAAATACTCAAAAACATTTAAGTGCACAAACCTATAATTTACAAGATTTTATATTTACATATTATATTGAAACATGAAAAATACAGCCTAACCAGCACATTTCCGATGAACGGCAAGAAGGGCATCCTTTCTATGCATTGCGATTCCAAGGAAAACATCCATGTTGAAATCTTGAGCTTCGAATTGAATGTTTTTCAATGACGTGATAAATATATAGTATTAAAAACATGAAAACAAATTGAATGCTTTTTAATGATGTGAAACCAACTTATACATTTGGATTGCGCTCTAAAAAATATTTGCTCGAACCTAATAGCTTACAAATCTAGATTTGACAAGACAAATTATACTAAACGAACTATGCGTTGGCTGATAAAATATGAGAACTCAAAGATTTAACAAATGGAATATTTTATTTCATCCATCCAGTCACAAAATATCCACTATAGTTAAAATATTATTATTTATTAAATTTCGAGGCAAAAGTAAATATTGCTTATAAATTGGAGAAATGGGATAATTTTTTATGGCAAAATTACATATGATTCATATGTGATTTGAAAAGTCTGAATCATCTTCCCTTATGATTTACAAATTGTATAAAATTCTTTGTATTTTCAAAAGATTATAGAAAATTTTTTTTTTTAAGAGATTCTATATAATATTTTAAAAAATATAAAAGAGTTTTGTACAATTTTTAAAGAACTTTGTATAATATCTAAAACACAAAGAACCCTTATACAATTTTGAAACCACGGAAAAGTATGATACCGATTTTCTAAATTACAAATAAATTATAAATAATTTTGCCGAATTTTATAAACAGTATACTAAACTAATGAAGTGGGCTTAACAGCTCCACCACATATGGTCCCTCCTCAAATCTAAAAAAAAATAATAAAAAATTAATTAACTGATCATATATAAACAGAGAGCAGTTGAAATTGCAAGTTGCAATTCAACCATCCCATTCCAAAAAAAAAATTAATTAAAATTAAAAATGAATTCTTTAACAATTAAAAAAAAAAAAAAAATTATGCATTTGGATGATCAAATTTCATTATAAATTCTGCTACTAATTCCTAAGATCGACAACAACATATATTATCTCGAGCTCGACATCGAACAACAATGGCTGTCCTCTCCCCCCTGCCCTCACTGCAAGACCTAAACCTCACATTCCATCAAACCACTTTGGTCTTTCCATCGAAGGAGACAGAGAAGAGGTCCATTTTCTTGTCCAATTCCGACCATTTCTTCAACGAGAATGTTCGGACAGCTCACTTCTTTAAAGCCAATCCCGATTACTCACCGGAAAATGTGGCCGCGCGCCTCAAGAACGCGCTCGAAAAAGTGCTCGTGCCGTACGATTTTATCGCCGGAAGGTTGAAGATGAACCACAAAGTGGGGAGATTGGAGCTCGATTGTAATGTCGCCGGAGCCGGATTTGTCGTGGCTTCTACGGATGCTTCTCTTGATGAAATTGGGGATTTTATAGTGCACCCGAACCTCGGATTCCGGCAGCTCGCCGTCCAAAAGATCGACGGCTTAGCCGGCGAAGTCGAGCAGCCTATCTTTGTTGTTCAGGTATGTATTCGGAATGTGTTTGGTTTGTATTTGAATTTTTTTGTTAAAGTAATAATTAATTTAATACTCCCTCCGTCGTCCACGCAGAAATTATACATATTTTTATTTTTGGATATTCAATTACAAAGTAAATATTTCATTAAATACTTCACTTTTTTTCACAAATACCTTTAATATATTACACTATTTTTAACTATACTGTGACCAAAAGTAAATGTTTATATTGAATTGGATGGAGGGAGTACTATTTTACTAGAAAAAAATAATAATATTCTCTACTTCATCATCTATTTTGCTTTTTTTTGTTATTTATTTTAAATATATATATAATAAATATAAATTAATTAAATTAAATATTTCAAATATTGTATTTGTTATAACTACTTAAAACTTTTTTATTTATCTTAATTCAATAAATAAATATTTTTATTTACATTGAAAACTCCTAATTTTTTATAAAATTAATAATAAATAAATATATATTATATAAAATTTTATTAATAACGAAATAATATTCCTATTTTATATATTTTATTTAAATAAAATATTTAAAATAATAACAATACTATTCACATAGAAATAATAAAATTATAATATAATTATTATTAATAACTTATTAATTTATTATATCTAAAATATTGTATCCTTAAGTAAATGGGTCATTTGACCGCAGAGACGAGGTAAATATATTTTTATAGATAATCAAAAAATTACATAGTAAATAAATTGATGACATGATCTCAATGATAATAGAGCTCGTGTCCTTGAAATATATTTAGATTAAAATTTAAATACATTTACTTTTTATATAAATTACAAATATATCATTAAAAAAATTTGCATAAAATACAACAGATAAAAATATCAACATTTTTTACACTTTTTCCCTCAAAGGAATGCTTTTCAGAGGGAGTAATTTTTACAAAAACATACATTAACAATTATTTCAACTAAAAATATCCTTACTCTATTGTTATTATTATCACACTACAAGAAAAAATTATTTTTTAACAAAATTTTTTTGTCTTTAAATCTATTTTTTTCGTTACTAATGACATTAGAGACTGAATTAGTAATGAAATTACGTTAACTACGTGAACTTTAGGGACGGAATTCCGTTACAAATATATTATTTTTTTGTAGTGTCATTATGGATTTCCGCATGGTATTAACCATATTGAGCAACACATAAAACATAAATTAATAGTACATATTTTGTTTTAATATAATACCAATATAAATTTGACAAAAATATGAAAATAATTTACCTATTCAACGCTTATTTACAACAAATAATTTTAGCGACTTGTTTCTTCAATATTTTCTACAGTTGACATCTTTTAAGTGTGGCGGATTCGCGATTGGGATGTCGATGAACCACATTCTCTTCGACGGTATGGGTGCGAAACTATTCGTCGAAAACCTCGCTTCCCAAGCTTTCGACGACGACAAACCGTTAGCCGTCATCCCGTGCAAGGATCGCAGCCTCCTCGCCGCCAGATCTCCTCCCGTCGTCGCCTTTCCCCACCGCGAATTCCTTGACCTCAACGACCTTCATGCATCGACTCCACCACCCTCGAACGGCAACCAAACCCGACTCGAATACAAAATCTTCAAACTAAGCGCGGCCCAAATCTTACAACTTAAATCCCGCGCAAAAAACAGCGACAATCCCGCCGCTAGGATCAGCAGCTTCGCCGTGATGGCAGCCCTCGTCTGGCAGTGCAAAGCGTTCTCCGACAACAAAGATCGCGCGAAAGATAAAGTTTCGACGCTCGTCCACATTATTAATATCCGGGAAAGGGTTGATCCGCCGCTCCCAATGTCGTACAGCGCCAATGCCGTGTTGCCGATGGGCGTCTCGGCGACGCACGACGAGCTCGAGAACGGTCCGTTTGGCAAGCTCGTGGAAATGATCACCGAGGGGGCGAAAGAAATGACGGACGAGTACGCAAAATCGGCGATCGATTGGTTGGAGGGTCGCCGAGGGGTTCCTCACGGGGATTACATCGTGATTTCGTGGATGCGGTTGGGTTTCGATCGGGTCGAGTATCCGTGGGGGAAGGCGATGTACAGCTGCCCGTTGGTGTATGAGCGCCGCGAGATCTCGTTGATTTTCCCGGATGCTATGGACGGCGGCGTTGGCGCGATGGTGGCTTTGCCGGCCGAGCAGATGGAGAGGTTCGAGGCTCGGTTTCGCAAGTTTTTCGAGTAGTTGTGTTGCGTTCGGCGCGTTGTTTTCGACTTTGCGTTTGTTGGGTCAGCTTGTTCTTTGTGTTCGATGTTTTTAGTTTATATGTTGTATTCTCCTTGAACTTTGTATGGAATATTGTTTGTAATGTTAGTATAATATGATATTGTCTTAAATTCTAATGTTTAATATCATTAAATATTGTAATTGAGACTTGGAGGGGTTTAAAAGTATTTTAAACAATTTCTAATCAATTTATTTAAATTTTACTTATCACTATTCAAGTTATAACAAATAATTTAAAATTCATTCTCATATTCGAATCCTAAATATCTCCCAGAATTACATTTATTTTTTGGGATATTATACGTAATATTAAAAATACCTTTTTAACTTTTGAATGATGGGTTTTAATTATAAAGTATTGTAAGTAATTCAAATTCATTCCTTTAAAATTCACCATCAAATTCAAATCCATCCAACCAAACAACTTTGGGTACAAATTTATCAAAACATGAACAAGAAATCAACATGATTCCAAAGCAAATTACAAATAATTATTGATGGGATTCATCACAAGATGCATAAGTAACAAGAGTCCAACACTTGAGATCATCTTACAAACCAACTGAGCTATTAGACCATTGTTACGACGACTACTCCGGCGCAACGACTACCACTTGTTTCCCCACATTTCGACCTGAGAATAGTCCAATAAGCGCGCTCGGCGCATTTTCGAGGCCTTCGACTATGTCCTCCACGTAATTTATCTTACCTTCTTTGATGAGAGGTAGCACCATCTCCAAAAACTTCGGGTAGAGGTGGTAGTAGCTGAATACCAAGAATCCCTCCATCCGAATTTGCTTCATAATAAGGCAAGCCAAGTTGTACGATCCTTCGGGTTTTTCAAGATTGTATTGTGAAATCATTCCACATACGGCGATGCGACCGTGAACTTTCATGTTGAGAAGCACCGCGTCTAGCATCTTTCCCCCGACATTCTCAAAGTAGATATCAATGCCATCGGGGAAGTACCTAAACAAATTAAAGATACCCGTAAAAATTTGACAAAGAGATCATCACGAATGGAAATATGTTCTGTTTATATAGAGGTTTTTAAAGTTTTGATGTTTTTAAAAATTTTGAAAATATATGCATATATATTCTCGATGAATAATATCAAAAATTTTGAAAATGTTTATGTAAACAGAACCTTCTAACGAACGTAGAAACATTGCAATGATACAAAAGCTCAACAACGATGTAAGATAATTGTAGATCGAAAAGTGAAAGGGGAATGAAACAACGGCTACACGGATTAACCTCTTTAAGGTTGCATTCAAATCGTGCTCGTCCTTGTAGTTGAATGCGTCGTCAAATCCAAATTTATTCTTCAAGAGATCGACCTTCAACCATGAACCATGTTCTAATAAGTAGATATCAAATATATTGTTTACGGTGACAAGGTCCTACAACAATGAAGAATCTACATAATAGTCGAGACATTCTTGCTCATTAAACCGAGGCAAGGGAACTAGAAAGCGATTAAAATTTTCCCGAATGAACAATCTAATAATCTCAACTTTTTCGACAGTACCAATGGATCGTGCACGTATTAAATTTGTACAAACCTTAGCTTTGCTTCCGGCGCTTCCAACGACATAGCACCCCAACAATTTTGCGAACTGACCGACAAGCTGACCAACGGCGCCCGATGCAGCAGAGACAAAGACAGTTTCTCCTTTCTTGGGAGAGCATATTTCATAAAAACCCGCATAAGCAGTCATGCCGGGCATACCTGTAACGAAAGATCAAATTGGATCGGAATGAATATATTTTACTTACATTTTCACCTGCTATTCACTAATATTCTTTCTAAAAAACATCATATTCAAAACTTATTTTTTAGTTAAAATGTTAAATCAAAAATACATTTTATATTCAAAGAATCACGTCCAATGCATATTTATATCACATTAAGCGCTCATTTTCGAACTTTTTACTACTGTTCTTAAACCAACCCAAAACTCCAAAAAACTTCTAAAACATAGAGACACTTCGAAGACAAGATTCGGCCCACCTTCTAGAAGGATCCATGGTGTTTTTTAAGAGAGATATCTTCTCAAAGAATCAAAAATTCTGCAAGTTACTACTATGATGCAAAATGATTATATAAGAGACTAACCGAGGATGCCGGTATAGTAGGAAAGTGGCACATCAGTGTTTTGAATTTTGAATAGGCCATCAGTCGATGTGATGAGGCTGAACTCCTCCCACCCGGTCATGCCCCAAACAAGGTCGCCCTTCTCGAACTTGGGATGAGAAGAATCCACAACTCTTGCAACGCCGTATCCTGTGATAACCTATGCGCAACAAAGTGTGCATTTGTTCAGAAAAGATCATCTCAGAATCTGATCAATATAATGTGAGGCCAAATTGAACATCTCATAGCATCTAATTAATATCATAGCAAACTTGTTCCGTAAAAGATTGCTTGGTAGTGTGGGATGAACTCGTGACCATGAGGTCATGAGTATTCGGACACCTTCAAATCTTGTCTGTCACACATAATTCATCTAATGTGACTTACCTTATCGTTCTAGTTTGTAGCCATTAAATTCGATCAAAAATTTACTCAAAGCAAGCTCGATGAGTTGTAGCTGCGGGTTTAAATATCATAGCAAACTTTACTAGTAACATCACCCATTTGTGCCAAACTTTTAACTGTAATAGCAAATCCTCAATCTTATAACTTCATTGAAATACAATAAAGTGGTAGTGAAAACTAAAATTAGTCCTGTGCTCACTTTGTGTTTTTGAATAGTATGGATTTCCTATAAATATTATCAAAAAAACATATAATATATATTAACTCAACTTATATAATATACATATTTAATCCATTAAAAAAAATCAGTTCAATACAAAATATTATTTTTATATTACGAATTTACAATTCCCATCATATTTATATTCCATCCAAAAGCGCATAGTAAACACATATTCTATTTTCATAGTATTGAATATACAATAGATTTATATTTTGCTCCATAGCATATCATATTCAACGCCTATTTTTCACCTAAAAATTTGCGAGCTCCAAAATATATTAAAATATCAAAACAAAATCGAAAATCAACGATGCTACTTAAACAAAGTTCTTTTCAATTTTTTATTATTTGAATTTTCTTTAATTGTTTCTCAAAAAACTACACTTTTGTTCTTATAAAACACCTAATATTATTTCAATGAAAATTCCAAACCTCAGAACTCAATCCAAATCCAAAAGAATAACACCAACAAGTTCATTTCAAGACTAAATTATGCTCCAACAGTGACATTTTCAAAAAATAAAATAAAAGTTCTTGTATGGGATGAGGGACCAGCAAATTTTTTTAATATATTGAAAATAAAAATGACAAGCAGGATGTTAAATATATATATATATATATATAAAAAGATATAAATTAGAAAACTTAATCTGTTTCTCCAACCCAAAACTGGGCTGTAGAGGTTTGGAGAACAGACTTTGTCCTTTTTTTTTTAATTATAAATATAAAAAAAATTTATAATAATTATAATTTAATAAAATATATATAATATATATCATTTTGAAGAAATAAAATTTTTTATAATACAAATAAATAAAAATTTAAATATATATATATATAAATATAATATAAATTTATAATTAAATTATATAAATTACTATACATTTATATTATTATATTTATACCCATCAAATCAATACACATCAAAACTGCAACCAAACCCACACTAAAAAAAAATATCAAAATTCAAACTCATCTCAAAATTCAGATAAAAATCAAACACAAACCCAAATTTCTCCGAAACCTCCTAAAGAAACACTAGATAGCATACAAACACAACCAAACCTTAATAAAATAATAGTAAAAGACAAGTTGCTAAGATTCCTTAACACACAAATCTACCTGTATATGGTTCAAATTTTGGTCTATTTTAGCTAATTCATAGCCAGCCATAAATAAGAAAGAGATATATTATCCTACTATTGTATTGTATATATCGATAAATATAGTCTATTTGTTTATTTTGCAGCTACTATTTGGACGTGGGGTGTTATTTTTTATTTTTTATAAAAATATCAAATCAATAAAACGTTTATTTTTTATTTTTTATTTTTTATTTTTATGTTACATCCTACGAGTTGAGATGATGACGATGATGATATAGAAAATTTTAATACTCTCTCCGCCCGGTGCATAGTTGTCGTTTACTTTTTGCACGTAAAGTTTTTAATATTAGTATTATAATGGGTTGTAGTGAAAAAGACGAAATACCTTTATTAGTATTGTGCAATATAAAAGTAATGACATTTGTATAATATAGTGTAAGTTGAAAGAATATTTATTATGTTTATTATGTTAAATAGGTAGTAAAATTACTAAATTAGAAAATAATAATTTTATTTTGGGACGGACGAAAATAAATAAAAATAGCAACCCTTCAATGGGACGAACGGAGTGAGTATTCAAATCTTAAACAAAAATTCAAACTTCCAAATAAGACCCTCTAGATTATTTTGATAAGTGTTACAAGTGTAGGAGGAAATAAATATTTCAAATGATATTTTATAAAAATTATGAATAGTACCAAATTTAAAATAATAATAATAATAATAATAATAATAATAATAATAAATAATTTTCTATTTAAAACTCAACTTTTACATCAAAACACACCAACAGGCAACATGGTTGAATGAGATTATCTTATACAACAAATAATCAAATATTTATTTTCACTATTACTATAAAAATAAAAAATAAAAATAAAAAACACAGCCACTGTTTCATGATCATCTCCACTTTGAACGGCAGCAAATAAAAATTAACCAAAGAAAGAAAAAGAGCCAAAAGTAAAATCCCAAAAGTGGCCATAAAAGATGGGAAGAGTGACTGACCGAGCCGGGGGTAAAAGAGTCAATATAGCTGGCCTCCACCTTCCCCATGCGGCTTCGCATGTACGGATCGCAGGACAGGTAGAGATTCTTCACCAAAACGGCGTCGTTGCAGCCATCGGGAACCTTCAATCTGACCGCCGACGTTCTCAGAATCATATCGGATTCCTTGGGAAATCCATTGACGTAGTCCTTCAACAAAACCTGCTTGTTGCTCACTTCTTCCTCCCCCGCCATTAACTAATCTCGTCGCTTCGATTCTGCAATCTAAATGAATATACAGAAGAAATGACAAGTGGTTATGCAGCGATTTAATGGCGGGATTAAATAGGGAGAAAGGCGGTAGGGTTTTGGTGTTTGTTTGGTAGTTACTGTGCGAGACAGCCAAACCCATCCAATAACAACGGACGAGATCCCTAATTTTGTCCAACCTCGAAATATAATTAAAAAATATAATAATAAAAATAATTATTATATAATATAAATTACTATATATTAAAATTAACATAATTAATTTAATTAAAAATAAAAATTATAGACAAAATAAAATGGAACGGATGAAATATATAAATTACAAATATATTATTATACATATATATGTATAAAGTACACGTAAAAAAAATGTCAAAATTATTTTAAATGGGTAATTTCATCCTGACAAAATGAATATATTTTCATTTAAAGATATGGATTATATAATTGTGATAACGTTTGTATAGTTTTTATAATAATTTTGAAATATTCAAATTAATGACATTTGAAAATTTGCTTTAATGGAAAGAAACTTGGGGTGTGTTTGTTTGGAGGTTTGGATTTTGAGTTGAGATTTGAATAGTAAAAATTTTGAATTTAAATAGTTGTATGATGTGATATAAATAGGTATTGATGTGATGTTTTGAATGTAAAATTAATTTTTAATATAATACTTCCTCCGTCCAGTTAAAAGGTATACATATTTCTATTTTGGGACGTCCAATTACGAAGTAACCATTTCATTAAATACCCCATTTTTTCCAAAAATACCCCTACTTTATATCACATCATTATTTTTATACCAAAAAATTAAGGGCAAAAATGTCATTTTACTACTTTTACCTAACCACTATAATTAAAATATTATTATTCCTTAATCTCTGCGCCAAAAGTAATTGTATACTTTTAGCTTGGATGGAGGGAGTATAAAAATGAAAAATAGGCGTTTAATTTGATGTTTTTGGAGGAAAAAATGAGATAAATAGTGAAAATTAAATTCAATCCCCCAAACAAACACACCCTTAATTAACGTATCACCTAAAGAATTTTTGTTTCGGACAATTTGGTTCAAAAGCTAGGTTACGAGGTTTTTTTTTTTTCATTAATCATTTCGTTAAAATCAAATACTCTCTTCGTCTCACAAATATAGTCTTAATTGAGTTGGACACGGGATTTAATGAATATTGATGTTATATTGATAGTTGGTAAAAAGTATGAATGTGAATATATTAGTGTAAAAAGTATGGGCAATTGTGTAATAAAAATGAAAAAATAAGGGTAATTTTATGGTGATATGGTTATTTATGGAAATAAGACTATTGTGTTGGGACGAACAAAAATGGTAAAGAAGACTATTGTATTGAAGGGAGGGAGTATAAAATTTTAGAGAAATTTAAATATTAAAAATTATATATATAATTAGATAAATATAAATGATTGAAAAAATTGTTGATAATTTTAAATTTTTAAGTTTTGAGTACTAATAAATTAATTAAAATTTTTATTTATTTTATTGATAAGTCTTACTATTATAGTAAAAAGTTGGGAAGATATGGTAGTAAATGTTACTTCCTCCCCTCCGTCTAGCTACAAATTATACATATTTATATTTTAAGATATCCATTACAAAGTAACTATTTTATTAAATATTTTATTGTTTTCCACAAATATCTTTACTTTTACATCACATCATTACTTTTATACCAAAAAGTAAAGACAAAAATGTCATTACACTATTTTTACATACCCACTACAACTAAAATACTATTATTTTTTAAATTTCACGTCAAAAATAAATGTATATTTATTACTTGAACGGAGGGAGTATAATATAATTATATATAACATAATTTATTATTAATTTCAACGCAATAAATATATTTACACACAGGTCACCGTACAAATCTTACACCTGACGAATAAAGGTGGTGAAACTTGAATACATGACTTTTCACCTTTGATACTGTTAAATTTAAGTAAAACTGTCGTTTACATAATTTATATCATCTAATATTTTTATTAGTAAAAATGTATAAATATAATTTTATTTTTTTTATTAGTAGTTAAATGGAAGGTTTTAAAATAATAAGGTAGTTGGTGGTTTTTTAATACAAATAAAGATTTTTAAGCCAAATATTACATTTTTAAATAAAAAAAGGGTTTAAACATAAAAATAGCAAAATTAAAAGCTAAAACATCATCTACATTGGCGAATACCAGAGGGCGTTTCGCAAATAGCTATTTGAAGAACTTTTAGCTTATTGAACAGTTTTTAGCTATTTGACAGGTCAAAAAGCTAATTTAAGTGTTTGGTAAATTAGCTTTTTGGAATTGCTTTTTGGACCCAAAAAGCTAATTTCTGAAAAGTTAACTTACCTAGCGTTTTAAAATAGTTTTTTCTGTAAAAAAAAAAATTATTCCTTATATGTCGTTAAAAATGTATTATGCGTTTTACACAAATAAATATATTTTGATTATTTATTAATTATATTAGAATATTTTATTATATTATTGTTTTACTTTTATAAATTTAAAATAATTAATTTTTATATAAAAATTATTTTAATTGTAAAATATATAAATTTATTAAAATCAACATAAAATATAAAATATTAATAATTTATTTTCATATTAAAATTACATTATATAAATTTTATATTAAAAATAAATTAAATTTATTGAAAATTATAAATATAATGAACTAATTGATAACTAATATAAAATAAATATATATATGAAAATTTTATTATTTTATATTTTACATCATTTTCAATAGAAAAAATTATTTATATATTTCAATAAAAATATATTATTTTTTAAATCTAACTATAATAAAAATAAATATTTTTATAACACTTTTACAATTTTTAATAACTAATAACAAAAAATTTCAAACACTCTAAACTCAAAAGAACATAATTAAATATATTAGAAACAAAAATAAAATAGAAATGTCTTCAATTGTCATTTTACGTATAAATAGCTAATATCAAACAGTTGTTTTACCAAACATTTTAATACAAACAGCTAATTGAATCAGCTAGTCAAACCAGCTAATTGAATCAGCTAACAGCTATCAGCTAATTGAATAAGCTAACATCTAACAGCTATCAACTAATTTTCAAACACGCCATGGGTGTGCTCATCTTGTATTTTCATATTAATACAAATAATATTTTATATTGAATTATTAGGATTTTATAAATAAATAAAATATATATTATATAATTTCTTTGTCCACGAAATTTATTTTCACTTTCCTTTTTAGAGGGTGTTTGAAAAATAGCTTTTTGAAAAGCTTCTACCTTATTGGATATCTTTTAGCTGTTTGACTAGTCAAAAAACTAATTTAGGTGTTTGGTAAATTAGCTTTTTTAAAGAGCTTTTTGGACCCAAAAAGCTAATTTCTGAAAAACTCATCTACCCAGCGTTTTGAAATATCTTTTTCATTTTAATTTTGGTTATTTCTTATTTACCCTTAAAATATAATTATTTATTTTATACATATAAATATATTTTTATAGCAGTTTTATTAATTATTTTTAATATATTTAATTTATTAAATTATATTTTTATTTTGATAAATTTAAAATAATTACTATTATTAATTATTATATATAAATTATTTTGTTTGTAAAATATATAAATATTTAAAACTAAATAAAAAAAAAACAAAAGTTATTAATTTATTTATATATATTAAAACAATAATTAACATAATAAAAATATATATACGAAAGATTTATTATTTTATATTTTACATAATTTCAATAAAAATTATTATTTTTTATAAAATAATTTTCTCAGATCTAAATAATAAAAATAAAAATAATTATTTTATAATATTTTTACAATTTTCAATAATTAATAACAAAAATTTTCATAAATTTCAAACCAAAATGAACAAAATTAAATATTTTAAAAATAACATATCAATGTCGTTAATAGTTATTTTATGTATAAACAGCTAATATCAAACAGTTTTTAACCAAACACTTTAATACAGACCGCTAATTAAATCAGTTAGTCAAACCAACTAATTGAATCAGCTAACAGCTAAAAGATATCAGCTAATTGCCAAAACGCAACCTTAGTCTATCAGTTAAATTTAACCCATTACTAATTTTGGCAAAATCAATAAATCACCGTTTAAATTTCATTACCTTTATTATATTCGTTCTCCTCATTTTTAAATTTCTAACTTATTTTCCAAAAATACCTCCAACTATCTTTTTGTTTTATCAAATTTTTAATAAAGTATTTATTTTTCTTAATCTACGTGTCTGATCCAAATGTTCTAATTTATGCGGACGAAAAAAGTATATTATATTAGTATATGTATATATTATTTTTTATAATATATATAAAAAAATTATACTAAAAAAATTGTTGAGTAAACAAACCTATCATCACATAGTCAATCATTTTTGTAAACAGGAACGGTGCGATTGGCAATTAGCTGATAGCTTTTAGCTATTAACTTATTTAATTAGCTGTTAGCTGATTCAATTAGCTGGTTTGACTAACTGATTTAATTAACAGTTTGTATTAAAGTGTTTGGTAAAATAATTATTTGACATTAGCTGTTAGCTGTTAGCTGATTCAATAGCTGGTTTGACTACGATTTGTATTTAAGTGTTTGGTAAAACAATTGTTTGATATTAGTTGTTTGTACATAAAAAGACTACTAAGGACATTGATATGTTATTTTTTTTAAATATTTAATTTTGTTCATTTTAGTTTGAAATTTATGAGAATTTTTGTTATTAATTATTGAAAATTATAAAAATATTATAAAATAATTATTTTTATTTTTATTATTAAAATCTGAGAAAATAAATTTTACTAAAAAATAATAATTTTTTTTAAAATTATGTAAAATATAAAATAATAAATCTTCCGTCTATATATTTTTATTATGTTAATTATTATTTTAATATATATAAATAAATTAATAATCTTTATTTTTCCTATTTGATTTAGTTTTAAAAATTTATATATTTTGCAAATAAAATAATTTATATGTAATAATTAATAATAGTAATTATTTTAAATTTACAAAAATAAAAATATAATTTAATAAA